GCTCACCCGGGTGCGGACCTGGCATGCCTGGCACACTCCGGGGGTCTGGCGCGCCAGGGGTACTCAGGGGGCCCGGCCTGCCCGGGGTAGGGGTGGGGAGCTGGCGCACCCGTGGTGCAAACCCAGGACCTTCTGCGTGCAAAGCAGACTTGCTAACCACTACAATATGAAGCCATCCCCAGGACATTTTTTTAAGTAACCACAATTTGACTAGGTAAATCAGGAATTTAACACTGAAACCATGCTATTAGCTGATCTACAGACATTATTAATATTTTGTTGATTGTCCTATAATGCCCTTTTAGCAAACGAGAAAGAGAATAAAAAAATGAAAGAAAGAGAAAAAATTATTTTGGTTTGGAAATCATACATTACATTTAATTGTCATGTCTATACTCTTTTAGAACAGTTCCTCATTATCTTTCATGACTGACATTTTCAAAGAGTACAGGCTATTTTTCTTGTGGAATATCTCTCAGTTTGGGCTTGTCTGATCTTTCTTAATGATTAGATTATGACCTACTGGCATATTCCAAAATTTCAGAAATATGGCTTTTTCTTGAATTGTTTTAACATTTCAGGTCTGTCATCTCTCCTATCAATGTGTAAAAGCAAAATTAGGAACAATTTTTAGGAAACTCGATAGTTTAGGAAAATGACTTCATTCAATTTTCAGACTTGTTAAGAGTTAGGAAGTGATGCTTCTGCCTCAATGCATCATATCTAGGGAACGCACAATATGTGTCTATCCCATTACTGATGGTAACTTTGATCACTTGTTTAAGGTGATGACTGTCAGGCTTCTTGACTGCAAATTTACCTTTACTATTAACATGTATTTCGCGTACACTTAATTTCGTGAAACTAATATAATATTGTATGCCAACTGTAATGGAAAAGTTTTAAAATAAAAAATAATTTTAAAAATATGTATTTTGTGGAAGAGATATTTTGAGACTATACAAATAGGGCAGTCAGATAAAATACAGGAAGCCCAATTTAATTTGACTTTCCGATAACCAACAAATACTTTTTTTTAGCATCAGTATGATCCTTCTCCCAAATTATTTATCTAAAATTCAAATTTAAATGGATGGGAGTCTTGCATTTTTATTTGCAGGATCTGAGCACCTGATGTGAATATCTTGTTCCAAATCCAACTTCACCCAGTTGTTTTGACATCCATTGATAATTCTGAATCGATTTTTACTATGATTTGCCAAATAGTTCTTTTCTAACTCCAACATTCTTCTACATTTATTAGTTTGTATTTTATCTACCTTTTTAGTCGCTCCTTAGAGTGACTGGCACACAGTAGGTGCTAATATTTGCTCAAGCCATGAACGAACAAACTAGCTTATGTTGGCGAGCCCTCGGTGACAACAGCTGCATCTGGCAGGAGCTTGCGTTCCTCAGCCAATCACGGCATGCTCCCGAGGCTTCTGAGGCTTCCAGGGCCTCGCTCTGGGGCCCTTCTTGCTCCAATCACAAGCAGGGCTTTACTGGATAGGGACCAATGGATGTCGGCGGGAGGCGGGGCCTGCCACGCGCCAGCCGTATAACCGCGCGGCCCGCGCGCGCGCTTTGCTCCTAGCACCGACACCTGAGCAGGCTATGGCTGCTGCTTCCCTCGTGTCCACGTTGGCCGCCCGGCTGCTCCGGCCCGCACAGAACTCCCGCCTCTACCACCGTCCTTTCCACCTCTCGGCAGTTCGGTAAGAGGATCGGGAGCCGGGTCAGCGCGGAAAGCCGAGAGGAACCGAGCCCTGGCGGGCCGCCTGGGCTCCCGAGGGACCCTGAGGGATTTTTCTTCCTGAGCTTCTGCGTCCCAGGCGGTGGTGGCCACCGAGAGGGGTGTGGCCCGGCGACGTGGCAGCCGAGCGCGGCCGCAACTGGAGACTTGGGCGCTCGCTGGGCGGGGTAGCGTTTCCCAGGAGCCTTCCTTTTGGATGGAGCGGGCCTCCCTCAGGCTCCGGGCATCGCCTTGTCGCGTGATTCGTCCGCGGGCGGGCGGGACGGGGCCCCGGGTGCGAAGCAAAGGCACTGGCGGGCTCTGGGGCGCCCTGACTTACGAGAACATAACAGAGGTTACGGGCCATAGTGTGGCGGCCGCCCTTGGCGGTGAGGCGAGAGTCGGCTTGCGGAAAGTGGAGTGGACACTTTGAGGAGCGCGGGTAAGGGTTCTGGAATGAGCAGCCTTCGGCGAACGTTCCTTGCCCGCGATCCTAGCGGCGGAGGGGGTTGGGGCATTCTGATGAAATTCCGGAGACTGCTTGCTCCCCGGGTCCCCGCATTTCCCTCCTCCTCCCCGAGGTGGGTGTGGTTTGCGTTGCTCTTCACGCTGCCCCTTTCCCTCCTAAGAGAATAAATGTGCTGTGGTCACCAGGGCTTTGACTGCAGCCCACCCAGAGCTGGTCAGTGCCAGGCTGAGTAAATTGAGGTGATAAATACCCGGGAGTAGGAGAAAGAAAGCTGTGTTTCTATAGGAAGGTAATAAGTTTTTCCTGATCTTCCTTATTCAAACTCTCATTCTTAAACGTACATCGAAGTGTCGTTTTGGCGGGGGGCGGGGAAGGCTGTGAGCACTCTTCCTTCCATCTTTAGAGCATTTGTATTGTCGGAGATCTAAGCCTTGTAACAGCAGCTCCTCCTTTCATCCAGACACTATGCAAATTCACAGATGATAAAAACTTGCTTAGTGAAACTCACCTACCTGTCAGGGGACAAAACACACGTGTAATCTCCACGCTGTAAAAATGTTATTAGAGACATCGCCAAGGTGCTATTGAAGCACAGAATGAGGATTAATGCGTTCTTGAAAGAAGACTTGGGAGGGGACACGCAAGGCTTTTCTTGGTCCGACCATCATGACCTGCCTTTTCAGTCCCGTCTCTCATTGCTGTCCTTTCCCCTTTTCCTCCCTTCCTGAGTGTTGGCCACATGTGCGTTTCATGATTGAAAAGAAATTTATAAAAGATCCTCTAATTCGTTACCTGAAGAACTGGACCAGTTTGCTTTCTCTGCAGTAACAAATGCTTTCCTTTTACTTGCCTTTCTGAAGGAGCAATTAGACTTCCACGTGTCTGAAGGCAATACTGTGATTGGTATTTATCATTACGTTGTATTGCTTTGATTACTGCTGGCTGGTAAAATAATATTTTAAAAAATACGAGTCTACACATATTCCTTTTTGGGGGGCAGTAGGAAAGAGGGTTTCAGGAACATAAAGTCATGCTTAGAGACAATGGGCTGTATAGGGGAAAATGGACTTTGGCGGCAGAGGTTTGCGTTTATATATTGTTTCTGTCCTCACTTTCCCCTTCTACATAACAGGGTTATTATAAGAGCTGCAAAGTAACTGAGAACATGCGAAAATCTTAGCAAAATACCTAGTATTTAATAGATGTTAGTTCCATCCCCTTTTGTATCTGTCTTCACTCATTTCTGTTCCTGTTATTTAGTGGATAACAGAACTCTTCCTAAAATGACACTCATAAATTGTAAAATGCACCTGATATTAATTTTTTTGTGGAAAATTACAGTACTGTAAGCTGTTGAATTAGGAGGAAAGTGAAGATGCTACTGACTTGGATTTTAGTTTTGAACTTTATTCGAATAGTCCTTTTGACTTCTTTTTAGTTGTTCATAATTTTAATGGAAAATTTTCTAAACACATATGTGAAAGCATTTAATTATGAAATAAATATTAGCTAATATAGTTTATACATTTTGGATTCCTGTGGGACTGAGCTGAGTTTGTGTTTCTGTTTGGGGGTAGTAGTTTGTCCTTTAGCAAAAGAGGCGATGGGAAATTAGGTGGTGACTCACTTGTGGGACTGTTTCACATTGCAGAGTTGTGGTATGCAGAGGGAGGGCTAAAACAGTTACGTCATGAGAGATATGCAGGCACAGTGCATTGTGGCTTTTTTTTTTTTTTGGTTCTTTTGACAGTGGTTTTTTTTTTTTTTTTTTAAAGCAAATTGGCATAACATTCAGAACCTGCCTTTGGGACTTGGAACACTGAGTTCTCCCAGAACCCTGTGTCCTTAACTTTAGTGTATCATTCTTCGCACAAATGTGCTGCTTCCATTTTTTCCAAGCTTATTGCCTTCAAAAGGAACTTTTTAATGAAGTGCAAGCTAAGTCCTTCTCACTGATATCTCCTTATGTATAAATAGATAAATATATCTATTACATATTAAGAATATGTATGCATGTATGTGTGAAACGTATCTATCATATATTAAGGGTACATGTGTATGTGTGTGGATATAAATCTAACCAACAGAGTAAGAAGTTAATTTTTATTGAATATATATGCCTGGAACTTTATATGTGTTATTTCATTCAATATAAATGCATGTCCTGAGCCCTCTGTAAGTAGCGTTTCACTCTATAGTATTCTAGGATTGGGAATGTATTTCTGGCCTGGAGTGGGGATTCCTGGTACTGATATAGATCAGGAATTTTTCCAGGGGTATTTGTATCAGCAAAGTCCTTTTAATGAAGTCCCCTTCAACTCAAATTCTGAAATTGATTTGTAAATATTAATATGTTTTCAATTTCTTAATGTACCATGGGTGTACAGGAAATGCTGTTATTTTGTGCTATGCTAGTATCATTACATAAAATCTGGGTAAAAGTATTTGGTTTGCTATAAAATTATATCTTCTTAATACCTCACAAGATGCAAATATAGATTAATATAAGGTTTATATATAAAATTACTGCATTATATCTAAGACATTGAGATTTGGTTTAAAGTAGATATTTAATTGTAATGTGAATAAAAAGCAGGCATTTAGGCTTAAGAGTGTTAAAACTTTAAAAGAATTAATCATGTCTAACCATATAAGACATCAGTACCTAGATGTTATTCTTGAGAATTAAATATGTATCATAAGGGGAAACAGATTGTTTCAATGTTTCAAACAATTGTACATTTTAATGGTCTTGAGGTTGGAGCAGTCCTCATGACACAAATCTAAAGGGAAAGACTTGTTTTGAGAGACATCTTTTTGCTTAAGGAGCAGATGCTTATCTTACTTTAAGTAATGGGAACTTTATTGGAAGTATTTGTGTAGGAATATGAAAATCAGGAATCTTCCATACTGGAATCCAGGAAGAGCTACCTAACCAGTTCTTGATGGGAAGAGATAGCCTTTCAGAGATCTGAACATGGTTTTGGTAATTGGAGTTTCCTCCAGATCTTGAGTTTCCTCATTGCCCCACCCGCAACAGCCAGTTTGCTCATCTTACTCTACCATTAACCTGACTGCTATTATCTCTGTCATATGACTGGATGCTAACAACACAGGCAAAACACATACTACAAATGGTATATTAGCATACAAGAAAAACTATTTAACCTCTTATTGGTGAGGGGTCAAATAAAACAATGCACATTAAAACAATGGAAGTCTTTTTTTATTTTTTGCCTCTCAATTTGTCAGTGATCAGGAGGAAGAATGGTATGGCATTAAGAGCCCAGACTCTGGATTCAGACAGGCTGGATGAGACCCAGCTTTGTCAAATACTAGCTGTCAATTACTTAAAATTTCCAAGCTTCAGATTAATGATAGTAACTGTTTCAATGAACTTTATCCTTCTAAACATGCAACTGGACACTTTTAACTTGACCTTCAGGTTTCAGTTGTCCCTCAGATTAGGCACCATGTATTTTAACCTAAACTTTCAGTTTTAGGTATTTTTTTCTTTTTTTCCCCCCAGCGTTATTGAGAAATAATTGACATACATCACTGTATGAGTTTAAGGTGTACAACATGGTTTGATTTACATATATTGTGACATGATTACCACAATAGGTTTAATTGACTGTCATCTCGTATAGATAACAGTAAAAAGACAATAGAATTTCTTGTGATGAGAACTTTCTTAACTTTCCTGTATATCATACAGCAGTGTTAGCTGTAGTCATCACATTGTACATTACATTCCTGGTACTTATTTATCTTATAACTGGAAGTTTGTATCTTTTGACCATTTTCCTCCAATTCCCTCTCCTCTGACCCCTAAGGTTTTGGGTATTTAATAACACTTTTTTATAGTCTGAAATTTACTTTTTACAAAAATTCAAGCTAGTATTGGTTTTGTGACTCTGTTGCCTTCTGCAGAAATGAAGCTGTTGTTATTTCTGGAAGGAAGCTTGCCCAGCAGATCAAGCAGGAAGTGCGGCAGGAGGTGGAAGAGTGGGTGGCATCGGGCAACAAACGGCCGCACCTGAGTGTGGTTCTGGTTGGCGAGAATCCTGCAAGTCATTCCTACGTCCTCAACAAAACCAGGGCCGCTGCAGATGTGGGTACGTGTCACTCCCAGATCCCGACTGCTGTTAAATTGAGGCTTATCTGAGGCCAACTTCATTGTAATTTATTATTCCTTTTTTTTTTTTTTCTGATTAGAAACCCAAGCAGAAGAGGCTAATGTGATTGAGCTGTAGCCAAAACTTTGTCCTAATGAAATCAGGCTGTATCTATTGGGGAGTAGACTAGGACAGAAGGAATATGCTTTCTATTTTTGGTGTCTTTTGAAATGTAAGCTAAATTCTTAGTTTATCGTATCTTTGCCTATCATTCTTAGTCTTGGCATTGGACAGACAGGTGGCCTTGAACACAGTTGACATCTACTGACTGATGAGCGTCTCTGACTATAGTGTTTGAGCACTTGCAGTTTAAGGCAACAAAGTGTTAGTGGGAGAAGATTAGGAGACTTCAGCAATGTAACCTAGGACACAGTCATAGATTCGAAGAAGATTAATGACTCCGACTTCTGGGAAATAGCTTTTGATTTCCTTACCGATTGATTCCAAAGCCAATGAAATTCTGCAGTTTAGAAGTGGTTGGAGTTTTGAATTCAGAAGGCATAGGTCTGGGCAATGGGAAGTTTGTGTTCTAGGTCTCACTGTACTACAGACTGGCAGTGGACCAGAGGTGGGTGGGCTCGTCTGTGGGTCAGTAGTCTGAGCACCAGGTGCTCTGCCCTTCTGAAGGGCTGCAAATGCACTGGCATGGCTGGCCAGTGTTACTAGACCATGAGCTCTTGGTATACCCTGTTCTTTATTACTAAAGATTGAGACTTCCTGCCCTTTTCATTGGACACCTTTAGAACCTCTAGAAAATAGCAAGCCATGGCTTTCTAAGACATTGATATAGTGGAAAGAACAGGGACTTTGGGACTGGAAAGACTGGCTTTGTCACTAGCTGGCTTGTGTTTCAGTTTTGTTGTGCCTGTCTCCTTTCCGTAAAATGAGGTTAACGAGGATTGCGTAATGTACAGAAAATGTCAAGCTGGCATTCTCTAATGTATATATTTGTGAAGTTGCTGTTTTAGGTTCCTTTTGAGCTGATTCAAGCTTTTCAGCTACCAGAGTAGGTGTGATAATAACAAACCTCAGTTGTAGAAGACAACATAGCAGGCAACATAGCATTGCTCATTAAATACCTCAATGTTTTTTAATCTAGAAATTTTCTTATAGGAATCAACAGTGAGACAATTGTGAAACCAGCTTCAATTTCAGAGGAAGAACTGTTGAATTTAATTAGTAAACTCAATAATGATGACAATGTCGATGGCCTCCTTGTTCAGCTGCCTCTCCCAGGTGAGTTTTGGACGCCGCCATTTAAAGTGATTTCTGAGGAATGGAAAGGCTTGGTTACTTTATACAGCTTGCCCCTCTTATGAATTTGACTTAAAGAGAGCGAATATTTTATTAGATATAGGACAGACTACTCAGTGAGGGGAAGCAGTTTGCCACCCTGAAAATATGCCTTTTGGGATATTGATTATTTTAAGCTGGTTATTCTCAAGAAACAAAAGACTCAGGGGGAATACCTTTGACCTTCTCCCTAACTGCCCAAAAGAATTTAGATAGAGGACCTGCTCCAGCAAGGGAGATATCCTCGGAGATAACTATAGTTCCATATGAACTAGGCGTGATAAGCAGGGAGGAACCTAGCAAGGCCTCTCTGATCAAAGTCTTCTCTGGGTCCCATTGGCGAAGCAAACATTTATTTACCAAACATTTGCTTTTCCATCTCCATGTGAATTGCCTTCCAGTCCTTTGAAGTCCCCAACCACAACCCCCTTTTTCCTTAGCTTAAGATGGCATATAAGCCTCAACTGCTCAATATGTCGTGGGTCTCATATTGTTATGGAGCTCCCATATATACATATGTAATAAATTTGTATACATTTTCTCCTGTTAATATGTTTCATATTAATTTGATTATTAATCCAGCCAGAAGAATTTAGAAAAGTAGGAGGAAAAGTAATTTTTCCTCCCCCACATCAGAATACCAAATACTCCTTGATTTTGAGATCTTGATACAAAGGTCAGAGCAGGGAAGCAGTTGTATAAGAGGACATTGACTTTGATGTTGGCATTTGGCTTTGCTTGATATGTGTTCCTTCTGTGTAGATGGAAGAAGTAAATCATGAAGGCAAACAGGCACATTGTGGAAGGGGAACCCCACATACGCTGGGGTCAAGCAGTGCCAACTCTGCAACTGTGACTTAAGGCCACTGCTCTGATTTCTTTTTCAGAGCACATTGATGAGAGAAAGATCTGCAATGCTGTTTCTCCAGACAAGGATGTCGATGGCTTTCATGTAATTAATGTGGGGCGAATGTGTTTGGACCAATATTCCATGTTACCAGCTACCCCATGGGGTGTATGGGAGATAATTAAGCGAACTGGTAGGTATACGCCATAATTGTATGTCTGTGTTAGTATTTTAAAAGTAGTACTTGCAAATGGTAAAAATTCATACAGTACCAAAAAGTGGCAACTCCCACCCCATGACCTCTAGTTCTCCCCAGAGCTTTCCTCTCTTAGCAATTGCCCATGACTATTTTTGCTGTTTAATCCAGAAGCCTCAGTAAAGGAAAATTAAGCTTTAATAATGTTGATAGTTCATATTCATATAACATTTTGTAGCTTACAAAATGTTTTCTTTTAGCCTTCACTATGTGAAGCAAGTGGTAGGGCCAATTGACTGATGAGGCAGTAAGCTTAGTGACTTCCTTCATTATCACAATTAGATTCATGTCCTGGGCCATCTGCCTTCCTTTTCCTTTGGTTCTCATTCTAAGACAGTCTGGCACTGCTTTTAATGCAGGTATGCATATTTTTTCATAGGCATTCCAACCCTTGGGAAAAACGTGGTTGTAGCTGGAAGGTCAAAAAATGTTGGAATGCCTATTGCGATGTTACTGCACACAGATGGGGCCCACGAACGTCCTGGAGGTAAAGAAATTGTATTATGAGGAGTGTCTTCTTTATGTGAGAGCCTTCAGAGGCTGTCCTGTGGATGTCTAGAAGTGCTAACTTTCAGGGAAACATTTGTATCGGTATTTGCATTTGTTATAATTTTGTTAACAGATATTGGGGGAGTAATCTTTGTAGGAGAAGCTGTACTCAGTGTTACTTGAGAGTTTATTTATATTAACTTATTATGAAGCTAGTTCAGAAATGGGTATGCCTCAAATAAATTTGAGTTTTGAGTATAAGCATGGTTGTAGGAGTTAGAAATTTTTAGTTATGGCTTTGATAGTTGGATCTAAGAAGCAATTCTTATTCAAAGTTAGTATCCCATTCTGTGTCATTGGTAGAAAACAATTTTAGACCATTGCAAAGGACTGAATTGATATGACTGTAATGTGTCATTATGTCAAATTCTTGTTAATTTGTCTGAGAAAAAGCCTCAATTCAGAGTTATTTTATGTGATTATCATAATATCCATATGATTATATCAGAATAGCAAAACTAAATATTTCCAGATATCTTTTAGCACACTTTTTAAAAAAGACCTTGAATAATTCCTGTGATATTTTGTTTAGAAAGATAAAATTCTTGAAAAACTTAAACAGGATAAGGAATAAATCTAATTATATATGACTCCGAAGAGTAGAGCTAGGACCAACAGGTAAAAGTTACAAAAAAATCGGGTATTTTTTAAAAAAATGATAATTGGCTGTCTAGAAAATATGGCACACAAATTAAGTCAATTATTTTTCAGAGATGTTAAATTTCTACAATGGTTTGCCTAGTTGAGACCTAGTCTAATCTCAGCTTTGATTCAGAAATCAAGACATTTAATTTTTAACTCATAGGTGATGCTACTGTTACAATATCTCACCGATACACTCCCAAAGAGCAGCTGAAGAAACATACAATTCTTGCAGATATTGTGGTCTCTGCTGCAGGTAAGAACACCAGGTGAACGGAAGGATGTCACCCCAGAAAATGGAGTAGAATTTGCCTGCCTCACTGTCTTTCCGTTCATTGCCCTAGGATTGACAGTGTGAGCTGCCTACAAAGATGAGAAAAGAGTTGTGGTTGGAATAGTGGTTTCTGGCATTCCATTATAGACTTGATAGATGAATGTTATTTCTATAATTTCAAAAGATTTCTATTTACTGTATGAAGTTTAAATGTTTCCTTGTTTAATAGTTTTTATAGGTTTTTATAAAACAATAATTAGTACTTTTAGGTTGCTTGAAATTGAAATTAGATAAGAATCTGACAGGTGGAATCTTCTTTTCAGTACTAAATTGATCATTCCTGTCACCATTTCCAGGCATTCCAAATCTAATCACAGCGGACATGATCAAGGAAGGAGCAGCCGTTATTGATGTGGGAATAAATAGAATTCAAGATCCCATCACTGCTAAACCCAAGTTGGTTGGAGATGTGGATTTTGAAGGTAAATAGTATAATTTTTTTAAAAATATAAAATCAGTAAATATTACCTTTAATGGACATTTAGGACCAATCATTTACTTTTTCTTTAACTTTTAAACTTATGTTACCCTATTAATACCATTTAAAATTCTTTCCACAAGAATTAAGAGGAATCTTTTTTAAAATTATAGACATTTTAGAATTATTTTAGGTGTTTACATCATAAAATTATGGAGACCAGGTATAAACGTTTCAGGGAATTGTTTTTTTTTTCCTTAGCATTATCATAATTAAAACAACTTCAAGACTTTTAACAAGTCTGACAATTTAATGTGATTTTCTTAAACTGCTGAGCCTCCTAAAAATTGTTACGGATTTCTCATTTCCATATTGAGTAGAGATCCCAGACCTGAAATGTTAAAACAGTCCAAGAAAAGGTCATATTCTTTAAATTTTGGAATTTGCTAGTAGATTTCTCCTTTCAGTTCTTAAGGTACCATGTTTATCTGAATTTTATGGTAATAATTCTATTTCTAGCTTTCTGTTTCTATTAAAGTAGTCAGACCCAAGCTTAGGTATCCAAGTATTTTTCCTTTAAGATTGAGTTAAAAAAATCTTACTTCTTATTTTCCAGAAAATTACTTTGCTTGGTGCTTTGGGAAACAGTATAAATAAATATTATATGTAGAGTAAAATTAAGAAATTGTTTTATGCAGATATTAGGTAATGCTTATTATTATAGGTTAACTTCCCGTACAGTTTACCTACTGAGATGTTTCTTTTTAAGTTGATTTAATATGGAGGAAAGTATGGATGGTAAATTATAGGTTATTTAGATGTGTAAATATTCATCTCTGCTTATTCTGTTAATGTTACTTTATTAGTACATTCAAAAGCCTTTAGTCTTAAGTAATTAGATGTGATTTTTTTTTTATGAGTTCAAGGCTTACAAAGGTGGTTATGTATATTATTATTTGAATGCTTTTTCCATGACATGTTAAAAATACTTGCATTTTCTTTGTCATAATAAAGCAATCTGTCTGTCTTGTTTCTATTTAGAAGTCAAGAAGAAAGCTGGTTACATCACTCCAGTCCCTGGGGGTGTTGGTCCCATGACAGTGGCTATGCTAATGAAGAATACCATTCTTGCTGCAAAAAAGGTGCTGAGGCTTGAAGAGCAGGAAGTACTAAAGTCTAAGGAGCTTGGAGTGGCAACTAATTAACTGTTGTGTCTTCTGTGTCATGAACACTATTCCAAGCCAATTCAAGAGGCAAAACAGGCCAATAGAAATGCAGAATTTTTATTTATTCTGCCGAAGTGGTTTTAAATGATGCTTTGTATTTACTGAAAGCTTAAATGGGTGGGTGTTTGTGCATATAGTTCCATAGCACCTCACCAGGGAGCATGCCAGTATCATGCTGGGTCATATGATCTAGCTATAGGAGAAGCCATTAACCTAGTGATTAACATGGAAGAACACTGTCACAGTGAGAATGGCTGCTTAACTTTGTCAGACCACTACAGTTACAATTTGCCTTTTCTAGGATTGCATTTCCTAAGTGCTATTCCAGAAAGAGTTGATACTCTAGGTTCCAAACCTTTTGAGTTCAACTGGTCAAACCAAAGGGAAAATGTTGCTATAGAAAATTAGGGAAAAGGTAAAAAAGGATGGTAATTGAGTAAAAAAAGTTACCCTAATTTTATACGTATTGACAGATGACCAGAAGAAAAGCTACATGTTAATAGTTTCCTCAGTTGTCATGTTATAGCTTAGTCATTGGGAAAATGTCTAGGGTTGTTCTATGTGCTATAAGCCCTTGTTTTTTGTATCCATGAGGTCTCTCCATTTTAGTTTTCTAGAACTGAAAGGCTTATTTTATAAATTGTGTGTATTATCACATTTGTTTTTTTCTATATCTTTAAACTTCACTGTTAAGTTTTTTTTACTATTGGGGGTTTCTGGGTGGTTTCTTTGGTGGATCTTGAAACCTATGTTTAAAAAACAAAACTTGGGCTTGATGATCATTGGGGCAGCCTGTATAAGTAGGGAACTTACTTTTCCACCAAAGAATTGTTAGCAGCTGCCTGCTTTTCTCTGAAGCACCTGTTGGTCCACCACCCCCACCCCCCATAGGTTTTTGAGAGCTTGAGTTACTATTGAATTTAACCAGACTTTCTGATTAAAGGGTTTTCTTGTTTGCTTTTTTAATAAAACATTTCTGACTGGTATGGAATGAGTTTCTGAAATACCGTATCTTCCTCCTCTTGTTTTGTTTTTACCTAACATAACTTTTTTCGTTGGATGTAATTGATCTATATATTCCTATATGTGGTAACACCCAATCCTATGCCTTAAACAATTTGGTTTAAAGAGCAATGGAGAAACCAGCCTACTCTTTTCAGTCTTACATCCCAACAGGTTGTACCAAGCTAGCGTTTAATCTGTAAGATTCATTTAAGTGGTTAGTCTAAACCAGTGGTCCCCAACCTTTTTGGCACCAGGGACCGGTGCTCCTATGAAAATCTAATGCCCAGTGATCTGAGGTGGAGCTGAGGCTGTGATGCTAGCGCTGGGGAGCAGCTGCAAATACAGATGAAACTTCTCTCACTTACTTGCCCACCGCTCACCTTCTACTGTGCGGCCTGGTTCCCAACAGGCCATGGACCAGTACTGGTCCGCAACCCAGGGATTGGGGACCCCTGTTCTAAACCATGTGTTCAGTTTACACACTGTTCAATTTGCAAAGGACTTGATGTACTTGCCATGTTCACTCTCCATATATACACATACAAACACACATTTTTTAAATTGGTGTGTTTGATTTGACAGATTGTACACATTTTGAGGCTAGGATGGGTCACTGTGTATCCTCCACCAGGAGTGGGTATTTGGCTTTCATGGAGGCAGAAACAGCTCCTGCTCCAGGCAGCTTAAGGCAGACAAAGGAGAACAATGGAGAGTTGACCTACTTCCTCTTGTTCCTCTGCCAGCTGCCTTTACTCTTTATCATGAAAGATGATAGTTTGCTGGATATGCTTTTGTTTAAGTGAAGTGTGTTGCTTGTGTCCATAGGATGCCTGCTGACTTATCTAAATTATTAAATGTGGAGCAAGATGAGCAGACAGTATTAAGTTTTATTGAATTGTAGTTACAAGTGGATTAAAGTACTGACCTACTGCATGGAGAAGTAACAATGTTGAAGCTATCAAAATTAAAATGTTCATGTATATACAAAATATAAATGACGTGTATAAGGTGAAAAATTACAGTGATCAATTTACAAGAACAAAAAAATTAACATTGTAGTTTTCCAGCTTGTTTGATTAATCAAGCACATTTACTCCTGAATCCATAACATTTCTATAATTCGGACAAAATGCTATTGAAAATCAGCCAAGTTTTAAAACCGAAATGTTAAGGGTAGATTGTTAGCTCTCCCAGGATTGGTACAGATAGATGAAGATAAAGAATTTGTACTTAAATTCAGGTGATAGTTCTAGATTAGTGAGCAGCTAAGAAATTCTGCAGCTATCAAGTGATAGAGGTTTAGAGCTTTACCTCTTGGCAGTATCCCTTGGAAGGGAGCTCTGAGATTTAATTTAATAAACAGTTAAGAGTTTTCTGTGGACCCAGTCACTATGCTAGGCTCTGGGGATTACAGAGGCATTTAACTGTCCCTGGTTAACAAGATGTTAACAATCTAGTGTCATTTGTCTTTAAAAACTAAGGAATAAAGAAAGAGCACCTGCATTTGTCATCTTGAGTAACTGTAGTAACTCTTACCAAAATGATTTATTGAAGATTCAAATCCATAGTTGTTTTTGAGAAGGTAAATGTCAGATGCATTGTGGCTATCAGGCACACAGTAGGTGCTAAATAAACATGGTTGGCATTTGTTAAACATGGATTGACGATAAAGACTGATCATAAGTTTTATGACGAAAGGATTTGCTTCATTAATAACGGGTTTTAATCTGACTTGCTTCCAAACATTCCTTTAAAGTATAATCTAATATTGCAAAGTTATAATCTTTCAAAATTTTGACATCAGCTCTGCCTAGCATGCAATGTTTATGTGAATGGGAGTTTGACTTTGGGATCAGACCATTGAAAACTTGCAGGAAGGACCTACCCAAATGCATAAAGAAATTTGATTCTGGGCATGAAAAATCAGTCATGTCAATTTAAAAGATCATTTTTTTTTGATTTAACATGGTTTGGGATTTTACTCTAACAGGAACTATTTTATTTTAAAAAACATTTATCCACTCAAATGTGTTGGTTCTTTCATTAACAGACTTTTGGAACTGGCTTTTCAATCCGGAAAATCCCCAGTCACACTTCTGTGCTGGAGCAAGGCGCATTATGCAGATGGCTCAAACTTTTCATAAGACCCTTAGCAAACGGAATGAGGGGGAGATAAGATAGGGAACTTTAAGCATTTCTTAATAGTCAAAATTGCAAAACAAAATTTCCAACCTTGCTTTGTTGAAGTACAAGTATTTTAAAAGTTTTTTCAAGATCATTTCGACACGTTAAAATCTAACTTTAAAAATTGACTATTGCCCCTTTATCTTAACTACAGTTTTAGGAGGCAAGCTTTTTTTTTTTAATTTCAAAAGAAATGTTATAATTTCTATGTTGGACTTCATTTTAAAATAAGATATAATATTGAGCTTTAGTTGTTTTCGTAATTACAAAGGAAAGAAAAGAGTTTTGCATCTCAGTAGTACTTTTTATCGACAGCTCTCCAGTTTTCTATCAAGTGGAATAACGGCACAGACTGTTTGGTAAATAAGGAAACAGGCTCAGAGAAGTTCAGGGTTGTGTCCCAGACTTTCACCATGAAGACTAACCCATGCCCTCCCTCTGTGCCATATCAGGGGACACACTATGTCCTAGAGGGTGGTCTCGCCATCAGTGTCTCTTCCATATATGTCCATGTCTGCGAAGTCACAGTCTGACTCCATCTCTATCTTCACCTGTGGCACCATGAACTTTGGGCTCTGTGAATAGTTGAAAGCAGGTGATGCTGGACAGGAAATTTTGAAGTGCAAGGTAATGCTAAATGAGAAAAAGGAGGGGAGCATAATTCATTTGGTGTTTAGTTTTCATGCTATTCTCCAGAGCAGGGCTCTAATGCAAACAAGTAGTCCTGTCTTTGCTTATGAATTCTTAATACACCATTGGAACTAGCAGAATCCTATTTGCTCAGTCTTCAGCTGTCATTACTGATCTCACCCTGTTTCAACCTATGCCAAAGTGAACTTTCTAGATCACACATCTGTGGTTCTGCTTAAATTTTTCTGTGGATTCAAAACAGAATCCGAGCTCCTTAGTGTGGCAAGGCAAGGCCTCCTATGCTCACACCCATTTGCTTGTAGTTTGATTGCTCCATCTATCCCCATATTCTTTGCTGTGTGTGTACATTTTCAAATGGTAATTCCGGCCCGTTCTCACAACCCGAAATGCCCTTTTCTCTCCTTTGCTCTATATGATGGACTCCTGTTTATCGTTCCTAGGCTCTCCAGATAAGGCAAATACCTTCCTTTAGACCACTGTTCTCTTACATGTGCTCTACTGTTCTTGGCACAAGGTGCTATGTGCCTTTGTTCGCATGCCTGTCTTTCTGTATCCTCAGAAATTAAGCATCCTGCCTGATTGATCATGATCCTTAATCTTTGTTAAACTAGGTCATTTTGCTGAAATGGAATCCTGCTAGCTAGTGGTCTCTGCTTCCATAGATTTGATAGAACACTAGTGTAGTTGAGAAGTGCTATTGCCAGTTACCAAATTTTCTACATTTCTGACCTGGTCCCACGTTTTTTATTATTTAACAGGGTTTTGGAAATGCCCTATCTTGGTCCAAATTCTTTCTCCACTGATTGAAATTGGGGCAATTAGAGATTCAATTTAGTGTAGGCTATTTTAAAAAGAAAATGAACCGAGATAGGCAGACTGCTTTCTCCTAACATATTTGTATGCAAAGATCAGTTACTTTAAGGGCACGAGAGTCTTAGTTGGGGAGATGGGATAAGAAGACAGGCAGGGACGTAATTTGGACATGTGACACTTGGCTAGAATGGTCCAGGGCCCATTGCTTAGGGAGGCTTGTACCAGTGTTAAGTTTCTTTTCATCCTAGCTTGTGATAACAGCCCCGACTTATAACTCAGATCCCATACATATTTCCTAAAATCTCTTGAGAGTACCATCTAAGTCTGGAAATTTATCTGTCTCTAGACTTTCACTGGCTCAGTACAGAATCACTCTGTCCAGTTTAGGGCACAACATAGGAGTAAGACTGCCTCTACCATCTTCTCTAGTAATAACTGAGGCAGATTTTCTTGCTTCTGAATTCCTCATATCCATTTTTGAGCCCCCTTTATCTTCAACTATCCAGAAGTACTACCTTCTTCGTGGGTGGCTTCTCATTTAGAACAGGTAGGAATCACACAGTTGGCATGGGGCTTCCTGAAAATCGGGTCTTGAATCCTTTCTGGACTGTTCTTATCTCCACTTAATCTTTGATATTTAGTTAGCTTTCCTTGATACCCTTTCTGACCTTTGCTAATTAACCATGCTGTTATTTTATTACACAGAGTATTAGATTAGCTGGTGTTTTGATTCTTAGAGTTCATTTATCCTGGCTTTCAATAATATATACTTAAGTCATGTCTAAGTTTTCTCTGTTGTTTTCTTTTCGGTATTTACTTTCAATTTTCATTTTACCTAATATAATTCCCTTTTCTAAAGTGGAATACCACTGTGTGTTGTAATCATGTTATTATGTCAATAAGAGAACAAATTTGTTAGTGGACACTCAATAATCATGCCTGTCAGCCTTTCTTTCTGTCGTGGAGCTCAAAGGGCTTTTACTGAGGCACTGGCTAGTCTAAGAGATCTATGTCCCTCAAGCTTCCTGGCCATTGCTTAGTCTCTTATCCAACACCCAAAGCATACACCTCATGGCTGTTACCTTCGATCAGGTTCTGAGTCACTGAAGGAAGAATCAGAATGAATAACTCCAACTGGAAGATCTTTTTCCTGGCAGGAAAATTAAGATGTCATATGTGGAGCACTTTTGAGGACTATACTGGAAAATATCATCTTTTTTCCAGTGCTTCCCTCGCCCGTTTCTTTTTTCTATTCTCCAACCCCATGGCTAACACTGCTCAGAGGAATACAGGGCCCTCAGAGGGATAAGTGACTTCTGGTTCAATTATTCCTTCACCCAGAGGGCTCTTAGCCAGGGAAGAGTAAGAAAGGATGATGTAATTATATAAATAGGAAGGAAAAAGATTGAGAAACTCAAAGAGGTATCTCTAATGGAGTGTGTTGGGAAGCCCTTCGAGGGCCTTTGAGGAAAGTGGCAAAATCTATTTTAGGAACTAGGTCTGAACTCCGGTTGGGATCTCAAGCTGTGCTGTCTCAATGACCGAACTGTCCATCGATAGGGAGCTGAGGCTGGGAGTGGGTAAAGGCAGCTACAGAATCCCCCAGGATCTCCATAAGCGATGCCTGATCCCTTCCAGGCAGCCTCCCTTTCAGCAGGTGGAAGGTGCTTGTGATTCATACAGAATCACAGCCCGACCACGAGGACTTTTCTAATTTATGATCCAAATGCGATGCTACCTGTTGCTTCTAAAGAACAACTCAGCTTGGATTTGAGCTCTCAGTCTTTTCAACAACCTCTGGAAAACATGGAAGGCTCAGCTGGTCATGTTTGGTCATGTCTGAAACAATGCAAGAGAGGGCCAGGTGGTGCCACAGGCATCTAAGGGAACCAGGGGAAAGGAGAGGATGATGGGTTTTGCCTAAATTAAAGATTGATTATTGGAGTCCCATTCCTGTGGCCCAGTTCCCTTTGGCCTCTACCTAGCATAGGAGTCCTCTAGCATCTAAGACCACTAGATCCCATGAATTAAAAATGAAGTTCCTTGAGGAAGAGGTGGAGGATTAGTAGTAAGGGAGAGACATTATGTGTTTTACTTACTGGCAATGCAGTGGATACCATTTTGGGGATCTGTTTGAACACTTTCCATGGGAATCTTTATAACTGAGGGAGGAGGGAACTGGGGCTGGAGAGAAACAGTGGGAAGAGCTGATAAACACCACCAATACAACAGCTTTGGCTTTCTTGCCAAGATGGAAAATATATACATCCACAATGTGCAAACTACCATCCTCTTCACATCCAGACTAAACAGTTAGGGGGTGCTGTAAGTCCCCTGGGGCTCAGGGAGGGGGCATCACACAGTTAACCCGCTGTCCTCTTCTGGGAACATTACTCGTCAGAACAGTTTCAGCTGTCACGGTAACCAGTTACTTGGGAGTGAACCTCACACAATAGCTGTGTAAAGACGTGTGTAAAATGAATTTGTGTAAATTGAATCCCATTTTTCCATGGAATAGTATATCATCCGGAGATACTTATTCCCAACCCTGGAATAGTTCCTGGCACACGGTAGCCACTCAAATATTTATTGAATGAATCAATGAAAGGACAACTATTTGTCTTTAAAAGGCACTTAGGTTCTCAGTTTCTTTGTTCTCAGAATCTATCGTTGCAAATACTCTAAAACATCAGTGAAAACATGTGAATGGCCAATGGGCCTTCCTGGAAGAGGATGGTGATTAAGGACAAGGGGAGTTTCAGTCTATTGCTACCACCAGAAAACAATTTAATTGCCACCAAACAGTAAGCAAGGATTCGCCTGAGAATAGGTTTGATCTGCAAAAGGCAAGGTCACTAGGAGAACAATTCAAGGATGAGGCACGGATGTGGTTTTGAGTCAAACTGGGAGATGTCATGGAGAGCTTAGTATATTGGAAGTATGAGAGTCAAAGTGAGAAATGGTTTTCTTAATTCCTTCTAAGACATTTAGATATATGCCCATCTTGGGTGAATCATTTTCTTTTGGGGAGACAGTTTCATCATCTGTAATAAGCACTTGAACTAGACAATCTTTCTGCCTAACATTTTGTGGTTTACTCTAAGTTCTGAACTGGCTTCTTGTCTGTTGACTCCCTGAGTGTTTTGCAGTGAGGGTAGGGAGGAAATGCGGGAGAAGGGTGGGGTAATCAGGGCAACCTTGCAGGTATCTGAGGAATGTAGTCACCCTCCTCTCAGTGAGGACACGTGCCTCTTTCCCCACCTCCCCCTTTCCTTAGGGCAGGACCAGGCAAACCTGGTCCGCAGTCCTCCCATCTGTTGGGGGCAGTGAGCGCCCATCAGTCTCCTTTCCCTAAGCCTGTTCCATACTTTGGAGGTCAGTTCTCATAACCTCCTCCCTGACAGAGACAGTCTCCGCCCTGTTGCCTCAGGGGACTGCAGTGCTGTTGATAATGACCCCAAGAGCCTAACAGAACTGGACAGAGTGGGTTTGGCTAAACTCTTCCCTGGGTAGGGAGCTCTTTCACTTTGGCCCACCTTGAGGATATTCGCATTAAAAGATAAGCTCTCAGCACCCCAGACCAACATAAGCAGACGCCTCAGCTCATCCTGGACTGGGTCGCTGCTGGCCACCTGAGAAGCCACCCCACCCCCGGCCCTGGCAGAAGTAGAGAGAGAGTCTCCTGATCTCTCCCCCAGGCCTAGGCCTCACATCTTCCCCACCTCCTCGTCGCTGTCTTCATGGGCCCCTTTCCTTTTCTTTTTCTTCTTGTCTGTCTCCTTTTTCTCCTTCTCTGGGAGGATGTTGTCAATCCAGGCCAGATCGTGCTGGGAGAAGATGAGGTCCAGCAGCCTTCGGACAATGATGAGGCCCAGGATCTGTGGCGACAGTTCATAAGAAATGGCAGGCTCAAGGCCCCAAACTTGGGCATAGTTTTTTCTCCCTCAGCCATGTTCAGGGACTTTTTCTGGTCAGTGTCTTTGGAGCCATCTTACAGCTCTCACAAACCATTGTTCACCTCCCGCCCACCGTGGTTCCTCTCTGGCTTTCCTCAGTTCAGTGACAATGCCTACCAGTGACCCAGAGGGACAGAAGCTGTGATGGCTGAGGTGGGGAGCCCGGTAGAGATCATGGGCTAGAGAACTACAGTTAATTTTTAAATCAATGCTCTTCATACTTGAGCTGGTGCCAAATCACTTGGCGGGCTGTTAATACACATGCTGCTGGCTGCCGGATGCCTCAAATGAAAAGCCGGGGTCAAAAATCAGTGACAGAGCCCTCTCAGGGGGGCACATTTCAAACCCTACCTCTGCATCCTCACTCTGGCCCCAACTCCAGCCCTGCAGCTTTGGGGCCCACCCAGGGCTTTCCCTTAGTGCCCGCTCACAGGCTCCAGTAACCCCCAGCAGAGGCCTAGGGCCTCTTCCCTACAGTGGGGCGGGCTGGATGCAACATGTTGTTGGCTTTTTTCATTTTTATTTTGGAATACTTTCAAAATTTGGAATATTTACATAAAACTTGCAAGAATAGTCAAAGAACTCCCATGAACTTTCCCCAGCTTCACCAAATATCACATTAATGACATGGACTTTGAAGTTCTTGATGTCTGATTCTAGTTCTCTCTCTCCACCCCCATTTATCTTTTCAAATTCAGTTAGTTCGAATGGTGAGAGGATTTATATTTAGCATGCATCTACTTCTGCACTTGGTTTGAATTTCAGCAGTGGGGCCTCCATCTCCTTATTGCACGTGCCCAGCTTCTCTGTCCTGCCCCAGAGCGGGGGTGGCTGGGGCTTTTGCATTCTCACTGAGCTGCTCCACATGAGCTGGGAAAGGGCGGGGGTGCTGAGTTGTCACTACGGGGTCCATCCACCACACGCACCTTCCGCCCATTCCCTCCGACCCATCTGACCTGGACTCACAACCGCAATCTTGTTCTGTGCCTGCCACTATGACCCCGAGAGAGTCAGGCCATCGGGGAGAAGGCGAGGTGGACCTCCCCATGGACACCCACCCAGGACGAATCCACTGAGCAAGAGGGGGAAGCCAAGCCGGCCCCACCTCACCATGACTGGGAAGATGATGGCGGCCATCGTGGACTTGAGGATCCAGAGCACCGCCAGGCAGAGCATCTGCACCAGGGTGAAGAGGTGGATCCGGCGCAGGGGCACGTGCCGCAGGAAGGCGTGATCTGGCTGGTGCTTGGCTGGCATCAGGAAGAGCTTGCAGCGTTCCCAGAACTGGCAAGGACAGCTCAAGGCTCAGCCAGGCAATGGGGACCCGGGTGGCCCTGCTGGGGGCTTGGGATGGCGAGGGGGAAGGGGTGCTGCGGTGGAGTCTCACAATGGGGAGCCCCTGGTCAGACTTTATGGATGCACAGGAAGGGGACTGGAGGTATAGGAGGACATATAGCAAGATCTTAGGGGAGGGTGCTTGAGCCCTGGGTGAGGGGTACAGCCATGGAGCTGTCACAAATGAACACTGTTCACAGTCAAGAAAAATGCAACTTAATTGCAACATAAACAATCCAAGACATCCTGGTGTATCGTAAATAAAGAATAAAACAAAATGTTTTCTTCTGCCAGAGTTGCCTTAGAGGAGAGAGAGGTAGTGAAAGGCTCATTGGAGTCAGCCCAATCTGCGTTTTGAATTCCAAGCCTCAGTTTCCTCATCTATAAAATAGGTATCAGAGGACCTACTTATACAGATTTAATTATATAACACCTATAAAGTGCCTGGTTTAGTTATTTTACTTGGCACATAGTAAATAGCAATGTCATTATTACTGTTATTGTTTCATTGAACTGGGAAAGTGAGCACTTGGGGTCTTGGTGACAGAACCAGACTTGGAGTGCTGACTACATCCATTCAGTTTGGGGAGGGGAGAGCCTTACCTGGATGCCATTCAGAGAGGCCACGCCCATGTAGAGGAAGACTCCGTATAGCACTGGCATAGGGATGTACTGAAAGAGAGAGGGAAGCAGAGCTTTGGACTGGACCTCTGCCTGTCTGTTCTTTATGACAGTGTCTTCCAAGTCACGGAGGCAGTCTGGCCTGCCTTGACTTTCCCCATGTGATAAAGGAGCTGGATGTTTGGAAGAACTGAGGGTCTGAGAGCAGATCTGGAGCCAGAGTGTCAGTGAGGAGAGCGATGGTCCCTGGGGCTCTCCTGCCACCTTCTCTAGCTGGGGATAGTTAGCTCAGTGTGCGGCCTCTCTTCCAGCTGGTCTCCCACTTCGGGCCCTGCCAAAGCCACATGGTCTGAAGACATACCTTCTGGAACATGAGAAAGCTCTATAGAAAATCTCCTGCTTACTCCTGTCAGCCCCTTCCTACCTCTAGCCCTAGCTGAGGGGCCCCCAAAGCTGCACTGCTCAGATTGCAGGAGGTTGGGGACCTTTGGTGAGCTGACCCACATCGGCTAGGAGTACCTGCTGATTAACAAAACTCATGAATCACATACACAATCATATATATGTGTATAAATATATATATATATTTATATACATATATATGAAAATAGAATGTATAACTCAGCCACCACTAATTGCCAGCTAAGCAATTTGGTAGATATAGTTTGGTGGGTATCTTTCCTTCTGATCACGCTCACAGGTAGTTTGTTTACTTTTTCAAAAATGGGATTATATAATGGATACTGTTCTACAGTCATCATTATGACTCTGGAAACCTTTTGAGATATTTCTCCACTGTCATTCTAAGCTGTGTTTCTGTTTCTTTTCTCTTCCTCTTTATCTGCACCTGCAGCTTACCGTAATGAACAGTCTGCTCTGGGGTTGTCATGTTGGATTGCATGGGAGAACCAAAGTACTATGCCCAACTGTTAGACGACATTTCAGAATGTCAATAAATCTAACCAAATAAATATCTTCTCTTTTAAAAGAAATTAGACTGTTTTTTAATTTTTTTAAACAAAAGCATGATTTGGACCCATGTGCTGTAAACCTCAATCTAAGACATTTGAACTTAAAGAATGGAAATGTGGGGCCATGGCATCATTGTACACAGCTTATAAGATTTTATCCTAATTATGAAATAAGGTAAAAATTTTAGTAAGCAACTCTGTCCTTATCATTCTCAAAGCTCAGGAGCAGTTGAAAGAAATAAAATCTTAAACAAAAAACTTAGATATAATCCGTAATAACAGAAATTTAAGATGGCTTAAAACTTCCCTTTCGCCCTAATGAGTATGAAAACTATATCAAACAGGAGAACTGGGCCAAATATTAGATAATTTGTAGTTACTAGTGACTGATTAGCAAGCCTAGAAAATTGTCTCCAGTCCTGTTATTTGCAGGTTCACACAGTTTTTCCAGCAAATCCCAGAGGCCCATGACACATTCCAACCAGTGATGGGGCTGTGATCTCGAATTCTAGATTAATCAGCACAAATCTTCCTTGGATCCCCAGGGAAAAAGGCCCCTTTTCGATACTAATGATACAACAAAGTGGCAAAAAGTTGCCTCTAGTATTAGCTTTATCACATTTTAACTCTTGTCCCATTTAGAAAAAAAGTGCAACTCACTGCCAGCGTTAATTTAACATCATGTGTAGGAATGCTATGTCTTCTAAGACTTGACATTTTTAGTAATTCAGAATTACTATATTTTGTAAATGGAAATACCACTACTAAAAACAGAATGCTATAAATAGAATGATGTCATTTGTTTCCAAAGACTATCAATATACTAGAGCAATGCAAAAATAATAATAAAAGCGAGATATTTTGTGGCAAACTTTGTGGGTAAGGTTAGGACTCTAATCTGCAAGTTATCTCAGGGTAAATGCTGTAGCCTGAAGCACCACCAGCGATATTCTCAAGGCAAATGTGAAATGGGTTAAAGCAGTCAAGAATTATTATAGTCCCACCAACATAAGGACATCACAGCTTTCCCACAGAATTTGTGGTTGAGATCATAAGAACAACATGGTGTTCAGAGGGGGAGCTTCTGACATGGTCAGGGGCTTTTCTGAGGCAGAATGCAGAAATCCACAGTCCTGAAGAGCTGTGGCAAAGTGCAAGCAAAAAAAACAAAATAAAACTTTAGGGTAGAATCAGTCTCTGAGAAAGTGTATGATCTTATGTTGGTGGAATCAGTGTCTGAGGAAGCTCACTGCCAGCGTTAATTTAATGTCACATGTAGGAATGCTATGTCTTCTAGGACTTGACATTTTTAGCAATTGAGAATTACTATATTTTGTAAATGGAAATACCACTACTAAAAACAGAATGCTATAAATAGAATAGAATTTGTTTCCAAAGACTATCAATATACTAGAGCAATGCAAAAATAATAATAAAAGCGAGATATTTTGTATGGGTCTTTTCTGCTATAAAATTTACCAAATAGATAGAGAAAAGAGTGAAGATAGAGAATGTACAAAATGGAATCATTTTAACCAAGCTGCTAAAATAATTAACATTATGGAACTTGAAGCATGAGGAAAGACTATTCTTGTTCTGACTAGCCTGGGAATTTAAACTTATTTTGAACTTTCCAGTTCTGCGTCAATGCCTGGATATACATCTGGACCTTCAGGTAACCCTCTAATTACCCCCGAAGGATTCATATATACATCTACCTGACAGACATTATCCAGACCACGGGGATGTGACCAGATCTCCTGACACCCATCTTCTAGACTGCCTGGCATCCATCATCCTGACTGCCTGACATCTGACTGATAACCATCCCGGAACAAGCCTAGGGGTAAGAATGAAGGACTGATAATTCTCAAGAATATACTTTTTACTATGAGAACTTTTAACCTTTCTTTCTTATTGGGAACATTTCTAGGTTTTTGCTTAGCTGTGTTCCCACTTTGAAAACTCCAAGACCCTTGGATAAATCTCTATCATTTATTTCTAGCAAAGTTTCCAGATTCTTTTTGAGTTTGTTTGATAGATTAATTGGCGGCTTAAAATATTATTCTTTTTCTACGCTTATTGTAAAAGAACATGGGCAGGATTTTTCAAATCCTTTTGTGACAATATCAGAGCATTTGGAGCTACGTGGACCCATGGAAACTTTTCCATGATGGCCAGAGTAATAATTAACAGCTCCCCACATCTGGCATCTTACCCTATTAATAGAGCCCATTTATTTTTATAAGGTGCATAAATTAATACAGAGATACAGTCCACAGCTTGGAAAAGTTACAACATTCGAGCCAAGAAATGCAGCAGAAAGAGGTTTCCATTACTGCTTAAAATAGGAAACTATTACATATCACCCTAGAACAAGCAATGTGACAACACAGCCTTTCAAGGATGACCATCCAAGGCTTTGGTAATGTCAAATCTTATGCACAGAACTATTTTCATTTCCATTATTTTAAGTATATTCTGTGGGCATGCTATTTATATTCAGAAGATAGACAATATTAGTGCCAAAACAAAAATTTAGTAAAATCGGATATGTCAAGTATAGAGTGCAGAAGCCTAGAAAATTTATACTCATAATATAATAAGTGTGTCCATAAGATAACCAAGCACATTGTAAATAGAACAAAATAAAGGGGAACCGTAGTGCAATTTTCTAACTGCTTTGTGTTCTATTCAAATACTAATGACAGCTGATGTTAAAAGACTAAATCGCTGAACACACCCAACAGGTGGGGCAGCAGGGCTGGGATAGCCTGAGCCCCCTCTCACAGGGACTTGGACACCACATCCATTGCAAAGTGTTTGCAGGAACTTTCGGCCCCTAAAGTAGGATGTTCTTGGATTTGAGCTTTTTAATGCAAATGCTTGCATTTATTACTTTTAAATAACCAAAATGCCTGCCTACCTGTATGTAATCTGTTGCCTGCAACGGATTAGATAAAATATCCAACTTCAAACCTGTTCGGGTGTGTCCAGCACCAGTTCTCAAGCTGGAAATGTTTTCCATTGTAAATGGATCAATTAACATCATGGTTCCCCAGCCTTTGTTTTTTACAAGGTCATCCTTGAACGAGTTGTGTTGAGATATTCAAAGGGGAAAATATCTGCAAAAGATTGGGGCAACTACAACTAAGACTAATTCGAGAAAAGAAAGTCTTCGTAGGCATTGATTATGAGAAAGGACCATTGATAGGTGTTATAGGCTGAATTGTGTCCCCATCAAATTTAGATGTTGAAGTACCAACCCTCTGTACCTCAAAATGTGACAGACTTTGGAGACAGGCTCTTTAAAGAAGTAATTAAAGTAAAAGGAGGTCATGTGGGTGAATCTTACTTTAATGACTGGCACAAGAAGAAGGGGTTAGGACACAGACGTGTGCACACACATAGGAAAGACCATGTAAAGACAGAGGGAGAAGGTGGCCATGCGCAAGCCGAGGAGAGGCTTCAGCAGAAACCAACCCTGCCAATATGATCTTGAACTTCTAGCCTCCAGAACGGTGAGAACATAAGTATCAGTTATTGAAGCCACACAGTCTGTGGTGTTTTGTTATGGCAGCAAACAAATAGCAACAGGTGAATGGCTGGAATGGAGAGAGGGAGAAACCTGAGCAGGGAGAGACATTTCTGGGAACACATGCTCCAAAGGTTCTCCCATTTGATTTTGTCTCTTCCAGTTGGTCTGGAGGGACATGAGCAAGAGGAGCTTCAGACTGTGGGAAAAAGCCGCTTATGTGCCCAAGACATTCAACACAGAGAAGCAGAAAACAGGCCCCAAGAACACTCACAGAGGCCTCCCCTGCAAGTTTTAAACTTCAGAAAATGGGTGAGTAAGGAGGGCTCTAGTCAACCATAAACACAACAATGTAGAAACACAACCAGCTTGGAAAATTGCTGAACTAAGCTAGGATGGAACTTGGAGGAAACTTCTGAGGGAAGAATGTTTTCCAGAAAGGTAAGGGTGAACCCCGGGAGGGGTGGAAAGAGCAATAAGGACTGCCTGCAATCACCCAGAAAGCAGTGATGATGACGAACCATCTCTTTGGCCTAACAGGATCTTGCCTTTTTAGAGGCCATGTGGGGACCCTCCTCCACCTCTGAGGCATCAGGCCAGTGCTTTCTCAGGGGCCCTGGGAAAGGGTGCAGAGCCTCACCTTCAGGATAGGAGCCAGGAAGACAGAGATCCCAGTTAGGATGAAGACGATGGTGCCTGTCACTCTCTGTTCCCTGGCAGAGAAGAGGACACAGTCAGGGTGGACTAAGAGATGCTCCCTGACCATTCTAGCCTTGCGCCCTCTGTGGCACCTTGAGGTGTGTCAAGGCCCTGGCCTCTGCCTCGCTTCCCTATTCCAGAGAGTCACCGTGCCGCCCGAGACTCAGCTGACTGGCATTTGGGGAGAGAGGGAGCCTCGACAGAGGTGAGGGCATTTTGTAGGGGTATCTGGGAGGTTGTCCAGTGCAGTGCTAATAGCCGGGGTGCTTGAGCCAGACCAACTTGGGTGTGGCTTTGCCACTTACTAGTTGTGTGGCATCGGGCAAGGCCCTAAATGTCTTCGCCTCAGTAGGAGAGAAAATGGCACCTACCTGGAGGGTGGGTTGTCGTGAGGATGGAATGGGATATAAAGCGCTTCTTAGCCCTGCCCTTTGACTATAATAAGGTCCCATGTTTGTAGGGTATGACTAATGAGGATTCAGGGGAAGGGGGCCTGCTGCTGGCAGAGCGGGTAGGAGGGGTGGGAGGGCAGGTGCGTTTTCCCTTGTGCCCAGGCCCAGACACAATATAGGTGGGAGCTGGCGGCTCTGGGATAGATTGCTCAGGCCCAGCTATCTGGGGCTCAGGGGTCTGGCAGGGGACCCTGCCCTCAGTAGAGAAGCCTCAGTCCGGAAGGCTGACAGCCCAGGTCTCCAGAGGCAGTGGGGAGAAGCTCACAGGACAGCCACTTTTTAGAATGCCAGTGTCTGGTGTGGGCTCACCCTGGAGGCCCTAAGAGGTGGAAGACGCACTTCTCTGTATGAAACAGGTCAGGGGCCTGACGTGAGGCATGAGAGGAGGGCCGAGTGAAGGAACAGAGGTGACAGGCCATGGGCTACAGCCCAGGGATGGGAGTGGTCCTGGAAGGCTTTCTGGAGGAATGGAGATGGAGTAGAATCTGAACCCACAGGAGGGTTTTGGGAGACAGTAGGGGCAGAGCATCTTAAAGAGGAGACAAAGGGATAGGTCAGAGGTGGCCTGTGGGGCTCTTAAGTGGCCTATACAGGTGAGAGGTGAGAGTGAGTATGGGCCAAGGTGGTGTACTGCTTGGATTCTATTAAGAAGAAAGCAACACTTAGAACTGAATTTTCATCTCCCTTCCTTCAGGAACATCACTTCTGTACATGTGGCTCTTGCCAGAGCAGGGGCCCTTTGCACCAAGATACGGTGATGGTAAGAAAAACCTGCTTCCCTTCCCTCAACCTAACCACACCTGCTCAGGTGGTCCCCAAGCCCAGACCCCCACCTACCTGACCCCCAGGAACTGAGGCTGCTCCCCAGGGGCGCTGGTCTCTGTTTCCATCTTGAGGCTGTCAATGTGGGCAATGGAGATGACCGTGGCAGCCACATACCAGGGGAGCCCCATGAAGGAGCACAGGGCCATAAGGACGCCAACCCAGAACAGGTCCAGATGGTAGCCAGCAGCCTTCTGCAGGGGCGGCAGGAGAGGAGAAGCTATCTAGGAGCCTGTTGCTGACCATTTGTTGGGGCGGATGGGTTAGACAGAAATCTCCCCAGAGCAGCCATTTTGTGGACTATGGTTCAAGGGCTCCTTGGGCCTTCTAGAAGGTACCCTGAGTTGGCTGCCATCCTGAGGTGCTTAGACCTTACCAACCTCAGAGTTTGGTGAGCCCGAGAAGGAACACAGGTGTGGGAAGAGTGGGATGTTCAGGCTTGGAGAGGCCCAGGGCTTGGGTCCTTGGGAAGAAGGGCTCCTAGCAGTGGCCACAATATATTTGCCATTCCTGAATGAGGGGCCCTAGATTGAGCCTAGAGTGGTCCAGATTGGGATGGGGGAGAAGGTAGCCCGAATCTGCTTAGATGGAGGCAGGGTGGGGAGCTGTAGGGACCAAGTGGGCGAAGGATGCCTCTGCCTCATTGTTCTGGGCCAAAATCCCTATCAGGATCTGTTCAGACTTCCAAGTTCATTGTCGGGAGGCACAGAGGCCGGAGGGTCTCTTTGAGAGAAGCAAGGTGCCCAGTGGGCTCGCCCTGGGCTTGGTTGTGGTCTTTAGATCAAGTCGCCCTGGCCCTGGTGGCCTTACTGCCAACTGGAGGTCACACTTCCCTCCCACACACACCAGAACTCCAGTCTTCTGGCTCATATTTTGCTTCACAAGTGGCCCAAAATTTTGATAGACCATCTCTCTTCTTTGTTCCTTCTGACTTTGTAGGAAGAAAAAGGTTGTGCTCCTGCTCCTAGCACCAGACTTACCCTCAGCTTGTTCTCCTTCCGGTTGACGATTACGGCCGTGATCTGCTGGTCCATGAAGATCAGGATGGTCACCAGTAGGGCAGGCAGGATGCTCGCTGGGTACACCCACCATGGGTTCTTCCCAAAAGGGTCCACGAACCAGCCTCGGTCTGACCGCGTGGGCTGAGTGAAGCAAACGGAGAGGCCCTTTCCTCTCCCCCTTGTCCGAGGGCACTTGCTGCCCAGGCCCCACTCTGCCGCCTTCCTGCCTTTCCCCCACTAGGGGTACTTTTTGAATGTAATCTTTTCCCTTAAGAAATTGATGCCTGCAACTTTAGAACAAAGAAACCCAATGCAAACAGACTTGGGAAGGGCGTGGTATCTGCAGGATGAAGGAGATCTTTTGTGGAGGCCACCTGGGATTGGCTGGGAAACAGGGAAGTGGGCATTGGGAGGGTGCTTGCAGTACTGCTTAATTGCAAACCAACAGGAAGCAGAAATAAGGCCCAACAGGCAAGAATAAAGCATTCGTTGGGACCAGTGCCTGATGCTTCGGTCTCTCATCTCCAGTCACCTGTCCAGGGAGCATTATAGAATTGTCTATAAAACACTGGATATCAATTCAGCCTTACATATTGAGAATAAGGAATTATCTGTGCAGGAGCTGTCTGAAGTTCATCTTTTGTTTTAAGAGAAAGAGGTACTTTAATTTTCAAGGCTCATATCAGTTTTACGAGATAAGTTTAAGCTCCTCAGGAAAACCCTCCAGTAACATTGTGAAGGTCAAGCCCTCAAAGGCAGGGAGGGCCAGTTCTAGAACCCGTATCCCCCAGCCAGTGCCTTTGAAAGGGATCAGGATTCAGAGCTTAGCTACAAGCAAATGGCACCAACTCTGGACTAATAGGGAACTTGGGAAGCAGTGGTTCTCAAACTTGAGCAGCCCCCAGAATGCCCTGCAGGTCTTGTTAAGATGGAGAATGCTGGGCCCCACCTAAGTGCTTCTGATTCCATAGGTCTGGTGTGGGGCTAATTTACATTTCTAAAAAGTTCCAAGTGATGATGCGTTGGTGGTCTGGGCACCACATTTTGAGAATCACTGTTCTAAGGGACCATTTTCAGAACCCAGATGGCCCAGCTTGCAGACTGCCAGGAGTTGGGAAACTGTAGACCCTCAAGTGGAAATCAAGGGGCTTCAGCTAGATTCCAGCATCTTTCTTATCCTGTGGCTACACAGTGAGATTTCAATATTGTGAATACTGTGCCCAACCCACCATTTCAAAGGACCGCCCCCTGTCCTATACAAGAAGGGTGGAGCTTGCACGGAGAACCCACGTGGTGAAAGTTTGATCAGTGAAAAAGAGAAACGGATCTGCAACTGGGGACAGGCAGAGCTAGTGCCCAGAGCAAACCTTGATGACACTGGGAACGTGAAGCTTGGGGGTTTCCAGCCCGAAACAGGCATCGATTCCACAGAACAGCAAGATGGAGAAGACAATGGAAAAGTCAGCTACCAGGGCCCGGACCTGCAGAAAGATGAGCAAGTGAGTGAAGCACCTGCCCACCTGCAGGTGGACCCAGTCCTCAGGCAGCAAAGTGGAGACTGGTTAAGAGCTTGGGCTCTGAAGTCAGCAGGCCCAGGCTCAGATCCCGGCTCTGCGATCTTGGGGAAGCATGTCATCTCTCGGAGCATTGTTTTCCTTATCTGTAAATGGAGATAATAATAGCCCCCACCTCATAGGCTTAAGTGAGCTATGATGCATACTGAAGGCTTGGCATATTTCAGTCAAAGTGGACTTGTCATTATTCATGTGGCATGGCAGCCATCGCTGACCACACTTTCTGGTGTGACAGACTGAATTGGGTCACCCATCAGGGGTGGTAAGGGAAAGGGCTGAACTGTGAAGGAAATCTTAGCTCCTAAAAATGTGTGACACATTGTTGCATGGCCACCCAAACTGGAGGGGAGAGCCCCCCAACTCTGCTGGGGACCCCTGGCTACTCTCACACCTTCTCTCTTCTAAGAGTCCTTGGCTTCTTGCTCCTCTCTTCCAGGAGGCCCATCCTAGGCCAGGCTCTGGACCTCACCCCCCTGCCCTCCGACAGCCCTTCTAGACCACCACTACCCTGCGTCCTTTTCTCTGTCTCTTCAGAGACATCAGTTTCCAGAGAACAAGGAAAGAAATTAGGAAGGTCAGGGGCAGTTTACAGCACAATGAATTCATTCCCTACTCCTACTTCCTACTTCTCTTTAAAATTGATATCAAAATAACATATGTAATTAATTAAAAACCCACGTAGTATAAAAAATAAAGTCCCCCACTTCATCTCTTCTTACTCAGGTTCCCTTTCCGGATACTCTCATACGTCTACTTGTTTTCAGTTGTTCCGGTGGTTTCTTTCATGTCGTTAATGAATATGCTATACTTTTATATTTTGATTCACTAATTTAAGGCATTATCTATTGAAAAGATTTAGCTTACTTCACTATCCCTCCTGCCCTTTTCTCATTCTCAGTCTTTGAGAGTTATTTTTAGACTCATTCCATGGGTTTCCTTGGCACTTTCAAGTTATATAATCAAACTTCTCCACTAACTTTTCCAGTATCGCTCATTCTCCAACACGCGAGTCCAGGCTCGCTGCCCCATTCCCCCACCACCCCGTTCTTCTCCCCCAAGCCCTTCCATTTTGTGACTCCCCCGCTTTGATCTTGACAGGGTCAAAGCTGAGAATGCTCATATTCTCTTCTGTAAACACTTCTTCTGTGTTTCATCTATAAGCTGATCCTAAAAGTTGAAAATCAATAACAGCTTTATATTATGCTCATATACAAAAACACGGGTCACAGCAAAACCAAGCAGTGTGCCAGGTTTACACTTGCCTTCCTACAATATTCCTAGCATCCAGATCAAAAAGTTATTAAGTTAAACCATATGAATCTTTTTGTAGGTCAAAACAGTCACAGATAACAATAGATCCTCAAATAATGTCATTTCGTTCAACGTTGTTTCATTATAATGTTGAATGGAAAAAAATCGATTCCCAGCCAGGACCCCTGTCTGTGTGGAGTGCCCAAGTTCTCCCTATGTCTGCGTAGGTTTTCCCTGGGGACTCTGTTTCCTCCCACACCCCAAAGATCTGCCCATTGCAGTGAACTGGTATGTCTACATTGTCCCAGTGTGAGTACAGGTGTGAGATGCGCCCTGCGATGGAAGGGTGACCTATCCAGGGTGGGTCCCACCTGGTGCCCTGAACTGCTGGGATTGGCTTGGCCACCTGCCACCCTGAACTGGAATCAGCCCATGGGAAAAGAATGATCTTATTTGTTTTTATTTATCTTTCTTAAATTTATATATAGTGAACATTTGTTTCAATGTGTAATATTATATGTCATTTTGCTTAAAGTTGTAGTTTCCAAGAGTTCATCAATAATGTTAAGTGAGGACTTACTGTAAACAATTTCACATGGTCCAATCTAATATAAAGATGGTTATAATAAACAGCTGTGAATTCTACCATATTATATGATGGACGTAATAAACACCATAATTTAGTAGATGTCTCTTCTATCATTCAGTGGCATCCCTGACCCTGCTCTCTAGACTGATCCACTGGTCTGAAGTTATAGTTTATTATTCTAATAATAATAATGTCTTTATACTTTTACTAAATATGTACATAGCCCTTAACAAAGTATGGCATTGTTTCACATGATTTAAAATTTCACGTAAGTGGGATCGTATTATTTGTAATCTTCTGTAATTTGCTTTATTTGCGTAACATGTTTGCGATATATTTCCTTGTGGATAGATGTAGCTGTCGTCTGTGTATATGCAGTGCAGCTGCATGTTTGTATGATTGTTTTCCACTTATTTCTTTATCCTTCTGTTTATAGATACATTTAGATTATTTTCATCGTTTTCTTCTTAGAATCAATGTTTTTATGAACATTCTTGTATGCATGTGAGAGTTTCTCTGGGGTGTATACCTAGCAGTGGAAGTGCGAGGCTGAAGATTGTATCCATCTTCAGCTCTGTCAGAGAGTGCCAATAGCTCTCTAAATTGGGTGTACCTGTTTATACTTCCACCCATCGCTTTTCATCTCCAACACTTGGTATCCCAAGACCTTTCTATTTTTACCAATCTGATAGGTGTAAGATGGTGTGGTCTCATTCTTCTCTGCAACACTAAGTTCCAAGAGGCAACAGATCAATTTGGAAGTAATTTGAGGGGGCGGGGAAAGATGGTGGTTAAAGAATTTCATTCTACATGAATTATATTTCATCCTTCAGGAAACAGACATTCTCAGATGCAGTCACTGCTCTACAATTTTTATGTAAGAGGTGACTTAGGGGTACGATCTGGTTAGAGGTGGGTAAGGAGGAAGAGAATTTGTCTTGAGGAGGCATTTGTGTTGCAAGCACACTATTTTTTACTGATTTTATATATTGCAAAGCTTTCTAAAGAGCCTTTTCTTTAATCTTTACAAAATATTGGGAAAGATCCAATGAAAGATTTTTATCATTATTGTTATTATTAGTAGTAGCAGTAGTAGCGGTAGCAGTATTTAAGATGGCTTTCGGAGAATGCGCATGGGTTTATGGTGGAAGAGGGTTGCTAAAATTCTTCTGAGTGCCCCTCCCCATTGCGCAGCTATTGTTCACATATGCAAGTGCTGTTCTGATTAATTAATATTTTATTCTGGCCACAGAACAGAAAATAAAATTAAAACTAATAGTTAGCATTTATAATAGCATTAAAAAAAAACCCTATAAATACCTAGGAATAAATCTAATAAAATATATGCAAGACCTAAAGACCAAAACCTGTGAAACATTATGGAGAGAAAGAAGACCTTAATAAATGGTGAGGTATATACTATATTCACGAGTAAGAAGATTCAAAATTTGAAGGGTGTTAGTTCTTCCCAAATTGACATGGAGAGTCAATATATTCTTATCAAAATTCCAACAAGTTTTTATTTTGGTGAAAAATTTAAGATGGCTCTAAAACTTATGTGGAAATGCAAAAGGCCAAGGTATCATTGAAAAAGAAAGACAAAGAAGGAGAGGTTGGTCTGTAAAATATAAGCCACAGACTTATAAGCCATAGAAATGAAGATTGTGATATTGGCATACAAATAAACTGGTGAAACAGAATAAAGAACCTAGAAATAGACCTCATGATGTGTGAACATTTGATATATCAAAGAAAGTATTGCAGAGCAGTGGGGGAAAGAATGATCTTTTTTAAAAAAGTGCTGGAACAATTGGCTGCCTATATAAAAACGAAGAAATATTATCTCACACTATCTGTCAAAAGCAATTCTGATAGATTGTAGATCTAACATAAAAGGAAAAACAATGAAACTTTTAGAAAATAACATAGGAGAATATCTCCTGTCCAATATTTTCCTTGAGGAAAATTTTGGTAGATTTGATTACAGTAAAACTAAGAATTTCTATTAATCAGGAGATACCATTAAGAAAGAAAAAAGGCCAGTAACAGAATGGGAGAAAGTATTTGTAACACTTATGATTACTAGTAGGTTTCTATCTAGAATATGTAAAGAACTCCTGCAAATCAAAAATAAGAATTTGGGCAATCTAACAGAAAATGTGCGAGAGATTTAAACAGGCACTTCAAAGAAAAAGGTCAAATGGCTGTATGGCCAATACACACATGATAAGATTTTCGACTTCATTAGTCATCGGGAAAATGAGAATTTTAAAAACACAAAGAGTTACTACTAGACACAAAGACTAAAGATAAAAGTCTGACAACACAAAGCATTGTCAAGGGTACTTGACAATAAAGGAACCCAGTTCTCTCTGACTCTACGTCTGAGCTCTTAACTTGAAAAACCTCAGTGAGCCAGTGCTGATGTGTCTATTCTGTGAATGGGTCAGAATCCTTGCAGGGAGATCTTGAGAACAGTCTGACTATAGGTCCCCTCCTAACCGCAGGGTGAGCTTACCTTGGTAGGGAAATAGCGGCTGAATTTGAACTTTTTCAGGGTCAGGGTCATGGAGTAGGTCCCGAAGAAAAGGATGAAGGACATGAGTGCCAGGTCTGGGATGAACTGGCAGGAATTCCCAAGCAGGCGCCCACCATAGTTCAGACACTCCTTCTTGCTCAGCAGGGACCAGTCCAGCTCTGTGAGGTTAAGGGGGTTGTACTTGGAGACCAAGCACAGGAGAGAAAGGGTCAGGACGTGTGCCCTCCTCCTGCAATCCTCAGGCATCCCACACTCCCTTCCTGCCCTCAGAGGGGCCCCCACCCTGCCTGGCCCATGGTGCCCAGCAACAGAATGATGTTCCTGGGACAGGTTGCTTTAAGGAATGACTAACGGGAGGCTCCTTGGAAAGATTAGGAGCTGACATGTGTTTCTTCGTTGTGTTCTAGGATGCGCTGCTGTGTTAGCGAGGAGCAAAAGCAGAGGGTGGGATGCCCTCTCCCTCAGCAGGCCTGGCTTCTGGCTCAGTCAATCAACCACAGGTCCTGTCAGCACTTCCTGGAGTGCCTCACATTTATTCTCCACTTTCCTTCCCCTACACACACCCCTTCACATATGGAGGCTCACATTTCACCCTTGTCAGATTCTTTTTAGCTCAATTGCTTCAGTCACTTCCCCTTTTGGTGTCCCAGATGACTAAAGTCCAGGGCACACAAAATAATTATTTATATATATTCTTATTTATGTTCCTATACATATATATTCCTATATATATGTTCCTAAGTGTGTGTATATATATATATATGTGTGTGTATACAAATATCACATATACACACATATATATACAGACATGTGTTTATATATGTTTCTAACTATAATAAAAGGAAAGTAATTTATAATAAAATTTAATATATATTTCAAAAATTTAATGTGTACATTTTCAGGAACCTACATAATGAAGTAAACAGATGCTTGCAACTAGCAATGATGAATGTTTGGATTAAGAGAAGTGTGGTAGTTTGATATGACGGTCCCCAATAAATCATGCCTCCCTCTGTTCATGCTCCTTTGCAATGTGATGCCGATGGTCCTCCCATCGAAAGGAGAACTCTATTTCTCCGCCTCTTTGAATCTGGACTCCCCTGGGCCTGCTTAGACCAACAGAATGGGGAGGAAGTGGCTTTGAGCAGGTTCTCAGCCGAAGCCTCGAGGGGCCTTGCAGTGTCTGCTCTCACCTTCTTGAACCCTGAGACCATCATGCTGAGAGAAAGCTCAGGGTTGGAGAAAACCACATGAAGAGAGAGGCCCGGCCATCTACTGAATGTCAGAGTATCCCTCGATCACTATAGCGATTAAAAATGCTTCCTGCAGTGTAGCATGCTCTACCGCCCACTGGCTTGGCCCACCGTCTCTCTCCCAGCTCATCTCTAGTGGTTTCCCTGTGCGACACCCCCCTCACACTGCCTTGGCCGATAGTCCACTCACTGCCCTGGAAAAGGTTTGTGCTTTTCCTCTGGTGCTGGTCCCTTGGCCTGGAACATACTTCTCTCTACATAACCAACTTTCCCAACCTCCAAGACCAGATCACATTCCGGTTTCTCCATGAGGCTTTCCTCTCCAGCATGGAAGTGTACATTTGGCCATATTTGACGCACGGCATGCTCTGCTTGTGCTGTCCATTACTTTTCAGGTGTGTCTCCACAGGCTTATTGCAAGCAAGTTTGACGGAAGGCCATGTCTGTTTCTTATATGTCTTTTTAGCCTTCAAAGTGCACACAGCACCTTGATGAATATCATAAGTATTCAGACACAGGTGATGACTGATTTCATTCTTCTCTCAAAATCGGATATTTGAAAAGTCTTCAGTTAAGCTGCCAACTGAGCAGTCAGCTACCTGTGCGGCAGTAACTAAAGCAACCTTGGGGACATGAGAGGTCTAAGAATCCTCCCCAGGGCCTACCAGGTGCTACCCTTCACCTGGTTTTGGACTTCCCACCATTGGAGCCACTTAGGCTGGGCGGTCTCTCCTGAGGGCCACCATTCATTCTTATTGGAAGAGGCAGACCAGATCTGGGGGCCAGGGGACTCATGAGCACAAAGGACAGATCAGATTCACTGAGCGGGGAGCATGAATATACTTTCTGGTGCTGGGGAATGGCATTGTTGGGTGAGAACTGGGAGTCCTAGGCAGAAAGACAGGGAAGAAGGTAGAAAGATATGGGAAACTTTGTTTACAGCATTGTTTGTACACTCCCATTTACCATTCCTCATGTCTACCTCCCCTTTGTGTGTGTGTATGTGATATTTATGCACATGGATTTAATGGAATGAGACATGTTTTAAAATGGGATTTCGACAGTATGTATGTAAAATAAAATTGTTCATTGACTAGGCTCCACAAATGATCCTTACGGGCAGCTGGGGTTGACCTCTGTTAGTGTCAGGCGCCATAAGGTAGTCTCAGTTTCCCAACTTTCCTCACTCTCCCCCAAGACAGAAGCTCTTGAATTCTGATGTAAGAGGAGAAGACTTACCAGAGAAGTGTTGGTGTTTGGTGGCAGCAAGGCTGAAGCATTAAACCCAGTTGTGTTTGCTGTGGATGAGCACAGAGCACAGGGTCAGCAGCTGCAGGGAGGGGAGCCTGCGATCGTCCCCCTCCTGGGCCCCCGCCCTTTCCCATCTCCCTCTAGCTCCTTGGTGCCAAGGGTTGGCTTCCATTGTGAGGGCGGCTCATCGAACCCCTGCCCCTTTTCACTCTCCTCTCTTTGTCCAGGAAGGCGGCGGTGGTAAGGGGAGCCCGGGCCACAGCTGTGACAGACCAGCTGGGCCAGGCTAAGGCAGCTCCTGACAGACACTGAAAAGCTGGCTTTAAAATCTGAAGTAAGGGATCTGCCACCAAGACAGTGCTGACACAAATTAGTGAATGTGCTTTGTGAATCCCTACCAGCTCTGTGCTCTTTTTTTTTTTTTTTTTTTTACAGCAGAAAAGAAAAGCTTTATTAGAAGGGATAGTACACTTCCAGACATGGAAGCAGGCCTGAGTAAGAGAAGCATGGCTCAAAGGACAATGTCTGTACTCTTAAACATTGTCAAAGAACTTACTCTATGCCATGCACCATACAAAACCCTTAACACACACATCTTGCTAAGTTCTCAAATCCAGAAGAACTATCCCTGTTTTAAAGCTGAGGTAACCGAGGCCCAGAAAGGTTAAGTGGCCTGCCCATTGCCCAAGGTCACATAGCTCATGCTTGGAGGAGCCACGACCCATACCAGGCAGGCCGGCCCGAAGTCTGGACACCTCCTGGCTCCACACAGCAAGCTCCCTTCCCTGCTCTGCTCCCCTCTGCACACACTTCCCTTCTCTCCTGCCCTGTCCATATGTGCTATTTGTTGTTGTTGCTGTTGTTTTTCAGGTCAGCTGGGCCTGTAAGAACTCATTGGCTTGATATTATCTTCTCTAATCTGCCTCTTGAGTGTAAGCTGAAGAAAATTAAACCCAGGACCTTGCCTCAGCATCCTTAACTTTAAGCGGAACATATGGGAGTTCCCATCAGGGGCCATGAGAAGAGTTGAGTGGAACTGTGACCCCCTCCCTGGGGGACGTGGCCATTCATTATAAAGGCAGGCCTTGGGTGGCCCCATTTTTCCTCTCTCTTGCTCCTACCCTGCATAGGTGAAGGAAAAGGGCCAGGTCCTCCTCACCTTCCTCCTCCAAGTGAAGGCAGACCGAGCAGGTTTAGGGGGCTGGGGTGGGGGAAGGCCTGCCAGTTTGCTGGCAATAAATCTGAAATGCATTGCAAGCCCCGTTTAGCTCCTGCTGGCTGTGGTTAAGAACCCAGAGGAAAGAAGAGGCTATTACTGAAGCTCTCTTCAGCCTTCTAGCTGTCACAGGGTGGTTGTGATCACAGGGCTCCTCTATGTCGCTTACTTCTGGGACAGTTGGGCAGGGAGTGTCTAAGGAATTCGGCCTCAACCTAGGTCAGAATACTCCTAGGAGCTCTGTAACTCAGAAGTTTGTTACAATTAATCTGAAGAAAGCTTCCCTCCATAGCCATCAGGGACATTTGCTTCCTTTCTTCATACCACTGACCATTGCGTGACACGCAATGAACCATGAAGCAGAGACGGTGGGCATGAAGGCTAACTCGGGGCTACGCACACAAATGCTAGAGGACTCCCAGCTAATGCCTGAGCCTGGCAAGCTCAGATGCCTTTCCACTGCCACAGTATCACACCAGACAGTCCTTGATGTCTTCTGCTGAGCCTTAGCCATTCTTTTGTATCGAGAACTTTGTGTGATTTATCTGAAAGCCACTTTGAGAAGAAGGAAGAGATATAATATGGAAAATTCCAGAGAGTGTCCAAGTATCAAATATTTTAAAATTCTAGTGTTTATAAACAGTACTCACTTGGGATTGAAAGCAGCCAAGTCAGTGTGTGCAGCGTCCATAAATAGAATACAAATCAGTTACAATGGAAACAAGATTAAATTTTAAAAGAGTGTGCCCCAAACAAGCTCTTATGATAGATGAAGAGTGACAATGTGTGATAGTGTGCCATAGTCAGACTGGGTTTTACAGTAAAACTAGGAATATGAAACAATTGATACGCGAGTAGTCCATGGACTGAGAAAGAAACCCTCCTCAGTGAGTTCCCCTCTCCCCAGTCTCCTAAATGTCTAGAACTTTCCTTTTCTTATTCTCCTAATCAAACCTAACTTGTCTTAGTTTCAGTTCCTTTGTTCTCTGTGAAGAAACTGAAGTCCAATCTTACTAGTTAGTGGTTAATAATGGCTCAGTATTCCTAATTACTAGTTCAACAGAGCAGTAGCTCTCAAACTTAAGCACGATCAGAATCACCTGGAAGGCTTGTTAATATACAGCTGGCACTACCCCAGACTTTCCGATTCAGCAGGTCTGGGATAGGGCCCAAGAATTTGCATTTCTAACAAATTCCTAGATGTTGCTGATGCTCCTGGTCTGGAGGCTGCACTTTGAGAACCATGGCAATAGCGTGACCCAGAAATATGAGGTGACATCAGGCACCTGGGTCAGGCCAGACGGGATGCTATTTGGAGGCAATTGGATTTCTTTATGCCCCTCAAATCCTGTCTTATTGCTTCTATGTGCCCTGTTTCTAGGATACCCCTGGATTTGGTTTCTCCTGTGGACAAAAGATGCTCAGGATGGCCAAAGACCCTCAAATGACCCCAGAGTTTCAGCCGTTTCTAAAAGATAACAAGGACGTGTATTTCCAAAAGCTTTGTTTGTAGGAATATTTGTGTTTGGTGCAATGCATCTACAGAGGGCACAAGCAGCCCATGAGAATACCCTGATGGGGCCCAGCCCACAGAGGCGGGATTTGCTGTAAGGCAGAACAAAAACGGCCTACAGGTAGTATCGCCTCGATTCCATGGGCAACCAAGGTGTCCCAGCTTGGGACAATGTGTCCATTCACCCATCATTGGAGTTAAGTAGAATAACTCAAAATTAATGATAGAAAAAAATTAAGTCTGGACTTCTTTACAAAATCAGTGCAGTAATGTAGGGAGAGAGGACACAACCAGAATTATACTCCCTATGGTCAGGGCAACTTTATCTCCGCAAGGCCTAGGCTAAAGCAGGGTGCACAATAATTGTGCAGCATATATTTTTGATTGACTTATGATAAATTTTTTTAATCGATAGTGTTATTAAAGGGCTGGGCAACACAATATCTACTTATTTCCTCCTACCCAATTTGAATACCTCACAAAAGTTCCATGAGACTGGTAGGGCCAGCATTGCTGTCCCTCTTTTACAGCTAGGGAAACCAAGGTTTGCTGTGACCTTGGGTGATCTCTGGACCTCAGAGTTCTCTCTGTGGTTCCAGCCTGGTGGTACTCAGAGATATGGATGGATTTCTGGGTCCTGCTCCGTAGCATTCTGGGCACTCTGGGCACATTCCACTGTAGGCTCTTTGGGGCATGATTATGCCTGGGAAGATCAGGGGTTCAGACTATGGGATACTCTAACTTTACAGATGACAACTTTTTGGTCAGAAAGGAACCATAGGATTGGCACAGAGGATTATCAGGTTGACCAGTTGTTAATTTAGCCTCCTGTCCAGTGCAGGGGTCCTTTTTATAACACCCTTGGCAGATGGACATCTAGGTAGTGTCCAAGTAGCTTGTGACCACCCAGTGGGGCCAATACTCAGGATGATGGTTCCTGCCACTCTAAGTTATCCCCTTAATTTAGTCAGCATCTTGTTCCCTGGAGCTTCTGCTTCTTGCTCCTTGTTCTGCATCCTGCAGTAACACAGAGTGAATCAGGGACCCCTGTGACGTGACAGTCCCTCTCTCATACGTCTCCAACATGCCGAATAACCCCAGGTTCTCTAGTTGTTTTTCAAACGACATGGTTGTCAAGCCTTCCCTCACCCTGACCAACCCTCCTTCCTAGATGTATCCTCATCTGTAGGGATGTTCATCTCTCTGGTGTGGCCTCACCTTACACCCTGGGAGCAAGGTCATGGAGAGCTCATGGTATCATGCTCTCGTGGAACTGGAAGGGATTTTAGGCCCCATCAGGTCTACCTTTGGCCTGCAGCAGGGTCCCTGGGCAGCAGGGTGTGGCCTCCCCATCACCCACACGCTGAAGCAAAGCAGGTTTTCTTTACTTCTTGGGGTGTTCCTGCTCACTCCTGATTACGACTCTGGTCTCTGGTATTATGATCCTCATTAGAGCTACTATCCCTTTGGCTTTCTTCCAAACACTGGGTTCAAGACCTGCATTTGCTCCCTTGCAGGACAGTAGTTGCCCTCCCAAGCAGGCTCACCCTCCTACATTTGAGTAGAGAGATGTGAAGTGGGGGAGTGGGGCAGTCAGGGAGGGGGTGGGTGCCCAGGGCACCATTGGGGTTACTGATCACCTGTGTCTGGAGCGACGCACTCGCATCTGTAGGTGGTGATGGAGTCAGGCTTAAAGTCCATGTTGATGGGGTAGTACTTGAAGGCACCAATCATCTTCTTGATGGCATCATAGATGAAGATGAAGCTGATGAGAGTGGAGAAGCCCTCCTCGGTGAAGCGGGTGATATACTTGATGATGAAGCTCGCATCTGTGGCCACCAGGATAAGGCACTGGATGGCTGAGTGTAGGCCAATCCAGAGGCGGAACTCCATGTAGTCCAGGCCATTGCCTCTGGAAGGCAGAGGAAAGGTAGGGGGGCCTCCAGCCCAGAGCTGGACTGTGCTTGGCTCCCCAGACACACCCCAGAACCCCCGAGAGGTTCATCTGCTCCCCCTATGGCACAGACGCCCTCCTAGAAACTGCAAGAGGACTGGGGACAGAGACAATTCCTAGGTGGGGTTGTCTGGTCTTTGAGAATTCTGGGAATCTCATGGGGGTGGCAGGTAGGTGCTAGGACATCTCATTTCTCACAATTTGGAACAAACGTCCAGAGTGAATGAAAAAAAAAAAAAAAAAAACAAGGAATTTCAAACTGACAGAGCTGGGTTAGGTCTTAGAAATGGTCCCATATTGTAGATGAGGCAGCTGAGCCTGGAGTGGTGACAGGAGCCGCCCAGGTCAGGATGTAGCCTTCTGATCTCCAACTCAAGACTTTTCATACATTGCACTGACTTCCAAGTCATAACTGTTCATGAGCAGAGTGGCGTGGATTCTCTTCTCTCATCTTGCCTGGATGTCTCCCCATCAGCTATGCTAATATGCACTAAGATGGCTTTAAGGCAGGTAGCTGGAGGGATTCAGGAGGGACCACCCAGCAGTCCTTCACATAGGTAAAGACGGCTTTGGTACCTCCTACCCCTGCCTCCCCTTTGGGGTTGTTCTTCCGCCCCAACCTCAGTGGACTGCCCCAGGAGTGAGAACAGGCACTGGGGGCCACCAAGGGGCACCTACTTGCTAAAGTCAAAGAGGAGCTTCTCGAAGATGAGGATGGGCCCTGTGCTGCTGAGGATGATGAGAGGCTGTCCCGAGAAGAGGCAGAACAAGGAGCCGGCCATGGCAGTGCCCAGGAAGCTCTCCATCACTCCCTGGGGGCACAAGGAGGCAGGAGAAGGGCCTCTTGGCACAAAAATAGAACCCAGCTATCTCACCGGGGACCCAGGCCACAGTGCTCATCCTTTATTCCAAGCCTTCTGCTCCCCAAATTCTGCTCCCCATCTCCCACTCTACAACCTGCCCCCCACAATCACCAGCATCACTCTCTCGAATTCCATTTGGATAAAGGGCCCGGGCCACTTTCTTTGGGTAACTTAGGGCCTCGAAAACAGGACTGCCAATGGTTCTGCTTGTCCCACTCTACTCTCAGCTCAGCCCATTCATCCATCCAATCATTTATTCATTCAAATATTGGTTAGGTGCTTTCGGAGGTTAGACCATTCATTCATTAATTTGAAATCCATTAAGTGCCTACGGTGTATCTGGCATTGTGCTAGATATTGAGGACCCATCAGCAAACAAGATAATGCATCTTCAGTCTAGTTGGAGGTACGGACAAGTAACCACACGACTTCTACACAGCAGAGTTTTTCAACCTCAGCACTGTTGACATTTCGAGCTGGTTATTTTTTGTTGTGGGGAGCTGTCTTGTATGATGTTTAACAGCATCCTTGGCCTCCACCCACTAGATGCCAGTAGCACCCTCCCCCAGTTTTGACAACCCAGACTGTTTCTAGATACAGCCCAATGTCTCCTGGCAGGATGGAAGGGGGGTGTCAAAATCGTCCCTTATTGAGAATCACTGCCAAAGAGTGCGATAAGCTGGGATAAGGTCGGGGTGCCATGGGGGCACACAGGAGGACTGAAAGGGTGGTCTGGAAGCCCTCCCAAGAGGTAAATACATGGAAGCTGAGACCTAAACATTGAGGAAGAAATTAGCCAAGAGAAGAAGGTAAATGGAGTGATGAGAAAGAGTATCTCAGGAAGAAGGAATGGTGTTTATTTACAATGGCTGGATGTGGAAGAGAGCAGGCCTTTGGAGAACTGAAAGATGATGATGACTAATGGAAAACAATGCAGAATGAGTGAGGAGGACAAGAATCTGAGAAAGGGAATACTGGGAGATGAGGCATGAGAGGCAAGTCGGACCATGTCATGAGGGCCACTCGGAGAAGCTGGATTTGTGAGTCAATGCACAGATGGCTGGGTGAGCCATGGTGTCACCCATTCGCTGTGCTGGTGGAGTGAAGGGAAGGAAGGGAAGATAATGGATGCAGTGTAGGCCCTGTGAGTTGGGGTCCACAAAGGGCAGCTATATGAACATGCCCAGGAGGCATCTGGATAGTGGACTGAGGTTCAGGAGAGTGGTGTGGACCGGAGATAGGCATTCATTTCAACTTTTCTGGGAAAATGAGTCTTCACCTGAATGTTCTGAGCTTTCCAATGGTTATATCTTGAAGGTCGCCTTCGGAGAAGATCCTCGCTTGGGTCTCAAGGTAGTGTCTGCTGAGCTGATGTTTTTCCCCAGGGAAGACTATGTCGTTGTCACGGTAACAGTTTACTATCTTTCTAAAAATGCCTTAACTCTAAGCTAAGAATTTAAGATTTTGTGTTTTTTAAAAAAGTAATTGTGCTGATTAAGTTCATCCAAGCATCAGTGGGAAAAGTATCAAATTAAACAGATGATACCTCTTAGAAGTTTGATCTGTTTACATCATCCTTAAATTTGGTCTTTAGTAACATGATTTAGCTTTAGATCTTTTAATAATTTTGGCTTGATATTAATTTTTTGAAGGGCAAAAGATTACTAAAAGTGATGGTCTAAACCTGGGTGGTAGATGAAACCCAAGCCTTGATTTTGGGGTTACAGGACAAAGCTCCTTACCGCCACCTGGTGGCAGCAGATCTTACTGAGGTTTGTACTCAACGTCCCCACTCACACACACCTGATAATTGTCAGTGGCATCCCCCAGAAGCCCACCAAAGGTGATCGCGTTGGTGATGCAGCCGAGGTAGATGAATAGGATGGCAGAGATGGACTGGATGTGGAAGCCATCATAGAAGTCACTTAGGAACCAGGGCAACTTCCTCTTGACATCCAGACACAGGCCACCGAAGAACCTGCTCGAGACAGGCAAAAGGGCTGCTTTCTCACCCCAAACACCAGCACAGGGAGAGGGCTATTTACAGGAGCTTGCAGAATCTGGGGTGAGGAAGGGAACTTGACTAGGAGCGGATAGGGGCAGGAATCTTTCCGCCAGAATGTTTAAGACTAGGGAAGAACTCTCTCAAGACTGAAGTTTCTGGTTGATGCCCTCCCTATTGGGAAAGGTGGTCATAGACAGCCTAAATGGGGGAGGGAAGGCCTGATGGGACTATGTCTTGGGGTAGACCTAACGCTCCACGGGGAATGGAAGTCCTGAGGTCCACAGATGGCCATCCTCCCCATGTCCCTGATCATCCTCAGAGCACCTGTGATTGGGAAACACAGATGTGTCCAAATTTAGGAGACAGAGATATCTCAGACTATAACACAGATTCATTGTGTTCCCCCGAAAGTTATATTGAAATCTTAACCCCTGGTACCTGTGAATGTGACCTTACTTGGAAATAGGGTCTTAGCAGATGTAATCAAGTTAAGATGTAGTCATTAGGGTGGGCCTGAATCCAATATGACTCGTGTCCTCATAAGAAGAGAGAAATGCCATGTGAAAATAGAAACACGGGGAGAACATCATGTGACAACAGAGGCAGAGATTAAAGTGGTACAGTTGTAAGTCAAGGAACATCAAGGATTAAAGGCACCACCAGAACTAGGAAGACACAAGGAGGGATCCTGCCCAGAGTCTCAGATGGAGCACAGCCCTGCTGACACCTTAATTTAGAACTGTAGCCTCTAGAACTATGAGAGAATAAATTCTTATTGTTTAAGTCACCTAGCATGTGGTACTTGGTTATGGCAGTCCTAGAAAACTAATAGAGGTAACAAAGGATATCTAGAGAAAAGTTTGGGTTCCTCTACTCCTGTGCTGGGTCCTGCTTCCCCTCTTCTGCAGGAACCTTTTTTTCTGGATGCAGGAGGGGCTATGAGGGTGTGGGGAAGAAAAGTGTGCAATGGCCAGACCCTGTGGCTAGACCCTGTGGTCTGAAGTGGGCACTGCAGGGAGAGGTGGGGAAGATTCCTATAAAGTCAGTAGGAAGGAGACAAGTGTAAAGGACAGCTAGTGTGACTGTCACTAGCTAGGGTGGGCACCTTCCTGTCCAGATAAGTTCTTCCCCAATTTCATGCATGGCTGGCATCTCTCTGTCATTCCCGCTGCTCCCTCCGGCGCCGACTCCACTGCCACCGCCACCACCACCACCGCCGCCACCTCCACCTCCAGCGCCACCTCCTGCAGCTGCTCCGCCACCTCCCGTCACAGAGCCGTTCATCTGGCCTAGCTCGGTCAGGGAGAACACGGATTTCCTGGAAGGAGAAAGGGGACATGGGACAGTGTGGCTCCCAATTCTGGGAAGGGCTCGGCCCCTCCAGGACTGACCCCAGAACACTTCTCCAACAAAAATCATGAAATATCTTAAAATACAGAGAAAAATGCAGAAAATGATAGAACAAGACCCACACACAGGTCACACAGATTTTACAAATGTTCAAGTTTAGCGTACTTGCTTCTGATTTCATTTTTAGAGAAATAATATGAAACTGGTGGGGGAGAAGGATAAACCCAAGTAAGCCGATATCTTTCTCTCAAATCCCAAAAAAGAAAAGAACAGACTTGAAGCTCCCTTTGGACCACTTCTCCCCTTGTCACCTTTCCATTCACATACTCACCTCTTGTCTGCAGAGGGCACCTTCTTGGGGGGCTCAATTCGGATATTTGGGTCCCATTCTCCAGGGGGAAGGACGATGACCTCATCCAGAAACTCGTCAATCCCGGCGATCAGATCTTCCCGATTGCGGGCTTTATAGGCCACGTCACTGAAGAGCTGGCAGCAAAGAGAAAGAGAAAGGTCAGCTCTCTGGCCTATGTCCCCTTCTACCCACATCCTGGGAGCATACCGCACACGGTTTCAAAGAAAATCGCTTTGAACCATTGTTCCTGCTGCCAATTTGCTCTCAGTTTTTGAGATGAAAACAGATCGGCCAGTGAAACAAGGCCCAGTGAGAAACAACAGCCTTGGGGACAGGTGGCCCCTCTTGGAGCTGAAGGCCAGGTCTTCATGTTCCAGCTGTCAGACTTCGGTTAAGCGACTTTACCTTTTGGTTTTTAGTTTTGCGAACTCATTAGAAAACCTGTGCAGAACCCAGTTTGAGAAGCTCACCTATTTCAAATCTGTTTATAACTTCCTAGACCTTCATCCTTGGAGGGCCAGGTTGCCTCATTCCACACTGTCTCCAGAGTGTTCTTTCTGACTTACAGATCTGACTTCATCAAGTCTGTGTTTAAGATCTGCCAGGCTCCTCATCCCACTGGAGACAGAGTGTGAACTCTTTGCTCTGCTCACAGGCTCTGTGTGGTCTGACTTGCCTCTTTGTGTCATCTCCTGCTCTCGAAGCTCTAACACCGAGCCTCCATTGAACCCTTTCCATCCAGTTTCTCTGTCTCCGAACCTTGGCCCCTATTCTCTTTGTCTGGAATGCCTGCCTCCTAGGCTGGTGCTGGGTCTACCTGCCTCCTGCTCATCCATAGCTTTAAAGCCCCTCAATGTGTGAAGCCTCCCAGGCTGTCTGTATTATAGGTCTGTCTCCTTGACTCAGTTGGCACTCCTAAAGTGCAGTGTCTATTCCCTCATTCTCGTAATCTTCAGCACCCTGCACAGAGGCTGGCACACCGTAGGCTCAAACATGCTTGCTGGATAAGAGAATGAATGAAGGCACCATGCTCAATGCGGAAGCCATGACATTGTTTTTCGTTACCACTTACATCATCTACCATGAGGGTTGCAATGGCACGGCCAATTTCATTATAGGACTTTGCTCTCCCGGAAGGTCCCAGCAGTATGAACAGAAATCTGCAAAGAAGATGAAGGAGGAAGAGGAGGAAAGTGAGAAGGGAAAATAAAAGGATTCTCTGGCCCTAACCAGTATCCATTCTTATCTTTTTAACTGGCTGTAAACTTGTCTCTTCCCTTTTTCGACTTCCATATTTGCTTTGGAGAGACATTTCCTTTTCGCTCCCATGAGCTCCCCCTTGAGCATCTTCACTAAGCTCTGGCATCCCAGGGCCTACCCAACAGCATGTCTCCCCGCTGTTGGCTCCTGCTTTTAAATGATTATTTGAAATAAACTCTGTAAAACTCTTCCCTAGTCAGAAGATTTCCCTCCCCAGCCAATTCCCTGATTTTCCTTCTATGTTTCAGCAGTGTCTTCACCAGCGCTGTGTGCTGACTGCATGGACAGCTGGCCGCCTGAGGGCAGGTGCGGTGGGCAGATTTCAATGGCCCTCACCTGGTAGGGACGGGCACCTCGGTCACTCCTCCCAGCATGGCCGACTGGGTGAGACGCACGAAGGCGATAAAGGGCTGGTCCAGGAAGTCCACCTCGCCCACGAGCACGTTGGAGGCTTCTGAGTCCTTGGGGATCTTCTTCATGAATTTGTTTTTCCGCTGATCGAGGAGGGGAAAGGAGACTTTTGTGGTCACTTACACACAGTGGTTTCAGTTCCCACTCCCTCGCCCCACTTCAGATTGCTGTGGGGCCTATCTTTAAAAAGTTCTCTCTGCATTTCTCAAGAGACTGAAAGAAATAACCGCTCTCCCCCTTTCCGCAGGTGAGGAGACTCAAAGTTGATTAACCCCAGCAACCAACTAAGCCTTTTTAGATGGAAGGAACAAGCAATGACTTGATCCCTAAGATGTTCCTTGATGGATGAAAACTGTTCAACTGAAGAGTGAGTTGAGGGGTCAGAGAAGAGAGCCCTGGGCTTGCTGGACGTCACGCCTCATTCCCCAGCCTGTGAAGCCCAAACAGACAGAAGTCTTGGCTCTTACACTCTGGCCGCCCACCCCGCTTCCTTTCCGCCTTCACCTTGGGTGGCCGTGGGAGGGACGAATCTCTTCTGATGGCCATGGTGGACACACTTTGTTTTTCCTTTGCCACCTGCTTCCTGGCTAAGAGGAACCCCTAGACCTCTGCAGGACACTTCTGGGCCCCCAAGTCACTCCCAGGGGACCTCCCAGGAAACTCATAGCTTCTGAAACTCTGCAACTGAGACTGTTCAGGTGCCCTCTCTCCAGTCCCTCTGGCTAGTGTCTATTCAGGGCAGGAAGGTCCAACAGGGAGAGCAAGTGGGGTCTGATGGGAGAGGTGCTGGAGGCAAGCCCTCTTCCCAAAATTATTCCCACTCTCTGCATTTATGACGTCATTTTTAGGGTAAGACATTGTCTTCTCTTGAGTCCCCTTTTGCAATGAAAACGCCCCAAGAACAGTCACATGCAAGCATACTTCTTAGGATGCATTCATTTTTCAGTGCATTTCCTCTGGTCAGCAAGGGGATGGGCAAGGGACAATTTTGTAGAGAGAGGGTAGAGAGGGAATATGTGGGAGGGCAGGGCTGGTGGAAGTCCACAGTGATCAACAAAGGAAGAAAGGGCCCAGAAGGTGGAGGCGAGCACTACAGAGAGATCCTGTGGACACCACAAATTTGCCACCCATGCCCACTTGGCCAGAGCCTCTCCTGTGGGCACAGAAATGTCTGTTTCTCATCAGCTTAGTGAAGACACAGGTTCTTTGTTTCTCTTCTTAAACTGGGGTGAGGTTAGTTGTGGGCATGGGCCTGGCCAGCAGGTCCTGACCCTGTGGGCCCATAGCCGTTTCCTGATCCACTCATGGTGGGCGTGATACACACTGGGCTGGGTGGCTTAGCAGCATGAGAAAAGGCATGTGAGCAAGGACTGCACCCTTATAATCTTTTAAATCCAGTCAAAAAAATAAAACTCTCCACAACCATCTGTTCAACAGCCCCAAGGCCCCTGACGCATTGAGAACGAGCAAGGGCAGGAGTTAACAGAAAGGCCAGAGTCTCCACAACTCAAAAAGTCTCTTTGTCCCAGCTCCAGTCAGCTGACTTATAGGCAGCGTTCTTCCGGATGCAGGGCTGGTGTGCCAGGGAGGCTGCCGTCCCCTGCCTCCTCCGTGCCCTTGAACATCAGGTGGGGAGCCGGTCCAGAGGACAGAAGGCAGAAGGGCCCCGGAGAACAAGGCTTTGACAGCAACAGTGCCGTAGCCCAACCAGCACACTCCAACCAGGAGGAGAGAGGACCTGAAACAGGCTCACGACCCTCCCTTGCAGGCGGTGACATGTTTGGTTAGGAGGTCAGGTGGCGACATCCCAGAAATGGGCCATACTGGTGTTCTGGCCACCTTGGCTTGGCCATGGTCTGGACCAGACACTTGGCCTTGCTGACCTCACTTGCTGAACCCGTGAGGACTCTGGTTCTGCTCGCTGAGTCACCGCACTGAGACAGCCGTGCTGTCTGAATCCACACTCTGCTCCCTGGAAACACGCTGGCCTGCCCAGGGCGGGCCTGAAGTGGTGAAGAGCCTGCCGAGCAAACGCCTCTGGGCTTGCACCTAAAGTGCGCCCGCTGGCGGACAAACTGCTCTTCCAACAACAGGCTGCGGCTGCCGCACATACTGAGAAGCAGCAGCATCACCTGGTCAGTTAAGAGAGCCTGGGCTGGGCTCCAATCCCTAAATCAAGGCAGCATTGCCTGGGGGAAGCCGCGGCTAGTATTCTTATTACCATTTAGACATTTATTAAAACAGGTTGTGAAAGACTTTGATTAGGCAACGCTTCGCTATCATGGCCCCACTGTCCGCGTGCTTCATCATAGGTAGTAAAGTGAGGGTCTTCTCTGAATATCCCAGAATACTCATTCCTCGGTCACTTCCAAATTAAGGGCTCTGGAGGCAGACTGCTGGGATCAAATGGTTCTGCCCCCTTTCAGCCGCATGAACCTGGGCAGTTCCTTAAGCCTCAGTGTTCTCAGTAGACTAGAGACGATAACAGAGATGCACAGAAAACGCTCAGCACGTGTGGTGCGTGCAGCGTGTGGAACTTACATGCTGGTTGATGCCGTTATTGTTGTTTTATTGTTTTGGCCACCACAGGGCCCTAGGGACACCAACATGAGGAAATGCTTTTGGTTTGCCTGTCACCAAACTTGGGGTGCCTTGAAGTCCTGGCAGTCACCCAAGCTCCTGAGGAGTCCTCACTAAATTCCAGGGTTTTTAAAAATCACCTTTCTTCCTACTCCTAGGGGCACAAGCAAGGAGATCATGAGAACTTCTGTCTTTGAGATGTGCAGGGGTTGGAACTGAAGGGGTTTCTCTGGCCTTCCCCAGGAGGCACAGTCATAGGGTTCCTGGCTGTGGGCCTTGGATCATGAACCCAGCCTGTTTGTAGGGTTCTGATCTCATCAAGAGGGTTTCAGCCAAGCTGATGAGGGACAGAAAGTGACTTTTCCTGCTCAGCCAAGGAGAAGACACACTATTGGGCAGTCCAATTGACTCAGAGTCATTGCTGTCCCCACACAAAGGCCCCATTACTTGTCTCTCCCAGCCCAAATCCCCACTCCATCTCTACAGGGACTTGTGTGTCATGCAGGAGGTGAACTGTGCATGCTGGTCTTCTCTCTCCAACAAAGTCCAAGCTCAGGGACCTCTGGCACCTCATTTGATCATACTTTTTCGCCACCCACACCTCCCAGGGCTTGGCACAGAGCCAGCACTTGGCCTCAGTCAGTACCCAAGTGATGGACTGGGCAGTGTCACCAAGGCCACCCAGAGCCCCTATCCAGGTCCTTCCTGGGGACTCCTGCTCCTTCATGGGATTGAAGTCCTGTGCATAGGGGCTCCCGGCCCCCTGAAACCAAAGGCTTTTTCCTGCCCTGGCCCTCCACTGCAGCCTGGTGCGGGGGCTTTACTACCTGATCAGTGTTTGGAGTGCGAGAAATATCATTCATGCTTCTGCTCTGGGCGTGACCTAGGAGACAAGGAAAAGAAGGTCCATCAGGGGAAGCCGGGCTCTCATATGTCCTTTGCCCTTGGTCCTTACACATGCTTCTCCCCTATTCTTAACCAAAGCAAGAGCCCCCTTTCCCCTAATCCTGCAGCCTCCTTGAGCTCGCCTCCACTCTCTTTTCCTCCCTTCAATGGCAGCTTTCCTAAAAGGGTTGCCAGACCCCAGGTTCTACTTCTTCCTTCTTACTCCTCAATCTGCCGCATTCTCCTCTCTACCCTCCACCCCACCTTCTTGGACAGAGACCAGGATGTCTGGTCTATGCCAGGCCATGCAGGTAAGGAGAGACACGGACACATTATCAGGGGAGGTGCCAGGTGTCACTAAGCATGGATTTTGTTGGAGAGAGAAGACCAGTTTCAGCTCCGTCCTCCATGATCCATGTGAGTCTTTAAAGATAGGGATTTGGGCCATCAGAGGATGGGAAGGTGGGCTCCCCATGGAGAGAACAGTGGTGGTGACTTACTTGAAGTTGCATGTTAGTTCCTCCCTTTGGTTAAGGTAGGAGAAAATCAGCCAGATCCAGGGGCACTCTCAGACCTGTTACTTCTCAGGTCTCTGTGGCCTAGGGCATCCCCTCACTTTGAGAACATGCTCCCTTGTCTACCCTCCTCTTATTTCCATCCAGAACCCTTTCCTGCTGGGCTTTCCTCAGGGTCTTATTTTTCCCTCAGCCCCTCCAGAGGCTTCTCCCCTCCTCCTTCGGTCAATTGCACCACTCCCATCACTTCCACATCCACATCAGCTGAGGATGCCCAGCTGGGATCTTCAGTCCAGATTGCTCCCCGGAGCTCCCGACTCCTCTGGCACCTCAAACTCAACACTCTGGGAAACGGAACTCATGGTCTTCCACCAACTGACTCCCCCCACAGACCCTACTGCACCTAGTGCCCCTGCCTCCCACCCACTGGCAATCAGAGCAGAGATCTAGGTGCCGGCCTTGACCCCATCTTCTTCCCCGCCTCCTACTCCCCCCAGTCATCAACTCCCACCTTGACCTTCCCTCTCCATTCTTGTTCTCATAGCCCCAAGGCAGGCCCAGTCTCTTGCTTCCAATTTCCTCCCCTTCTAGTTTATTCCTTCTCAAATAAAAATCTGAGCACGGTCTGCCCCTGCTTAAAACTTCTCAGGGGTCCCCACTACCCTTAGAATAAAGGCTGGGTCTTTTTGCAAGGCACATAGGCCCCCTTCAATGTGACCTCTTTCCCATAGGCCCTGTGGACCTGGTGAACTGAACTTCTGTATTTCCCCGAATACACCGCACTCTTCACAGTGCTTTCCCTTCACCTGCTGTTTGTCTCCTTTGTTTAGAATGCCCTCCTCCATGCTCCTGGAAAACTATTTATTTTCCAAGACTCAGGTGAATGGCCTCTCCTCTCTGAGCTGTCCTGGGAACTGCCTCAAGGTGGGCGTGCTGTCACTACGTATTCATGCCTCTTAGCCCAGCCCCCGCCACTGTAGCCTGGCATGGGAGTGGAGCGACCTCAAGCACAATGAATAAGTGAGCAGAGGGCCTGTCCAGGAGGCACTCATGCCTGTTGACTGCTGCCTCCTGGCATCCCTACACAGAATAATCAAGTCCAGGGGGGACTAAGAGGACCCAGGGTCACTAAGAACAGAGACAAAAGCCTGTGGCAAACTTCGGCTCAGGCCTCACATGGGGAACCACATCTCCTCCCACATCATTCTTTGGGCCTGGCAGGGGCACAGCCTTGGCATGTGCTTGGTCATACCATGGCATTTTAGTAAAAGTATTTAAAGGAAAGTAGGATTGCTATTTTCACACTGCTTTTTCTTCTCATTTTCCAAGTTCCCTCTTTTCTTTGCCTCATAGCTCACCCATCTGTTCATTCCTGACGAATTGTCTGAAAAAGCCCCGTCTGCGACCAGGTACCTCACAAGCCCCCTCCCCTATTCCCAGCCTCAGGGGGCTGTGACTCTGCCAGCGTTTCATTGTTGTGATGGCCTGAGACTGTCACCCAGTGGTAGAAACATTCTTTGACTGTTCTGGAGGAAAATACTTCACCTGTTTTTAATTTAGTTTCTAGGGAGGCTTCTCAGAGTACCCCAAAAACAGTACCCCTGCAACAGGGCTAATGATCAATTTGATGAAAGCAAAGGGGTAAACTAATTTACAAACACTTAGTTAGCACATATGATTGGGTATTGATTCTGCCAGGATGTGATTTAGAGCTGCAGTTTTGGGAGTAGTTATACAGAAAATTACGGTAGTAAATCAAGCTCTGAGAGCAGCCCAGGTTTGGGACAAAAGATTTCTCCCCACGCCTCTCCTGAGAACTCTAGACAGATCCTGATTTTTAGCTCCTCTGCCTTCGAAAGTCTCTGAAAGTTGACATGCCACAGCTGCCACAGCCAGGACGAAGCTGTGGCGTGGTGGCAGAGAACACACTCACACAGACGGCCGTAGTTGGCACTTCGCCGCACCCTCAGGTCCTCCGTGGAGTGGTGGAGGCTGGTGCCCGCTGCAGGGCTGCGTGCTGGGCTGCGATCTGGGAGGAGGAACAGAAGGGGTTTGCCTGGGCAGGCTGGCTGGAATGGCACAGCCTCTCCCATTAACGTGGTACATTTATCGTCATTGTGCCTAAATAAGGCTGGGCTGCAAGACACATCTCTTCCCCTCTCAGGAAG